TTCTCATTTTTTGATTCCCCACCAATAGGACCAAAATTAGGTTTTTCTAGATGTTTTGTGGTTGCGTTAAGGTGTTAACCTTTCCCAGGTGACTCCTAAATAAATAGGTAAAATTATTACAGAGTTCAGCAAACAGCTGCAGTAGTAATAGAGAACACCTATCACTTGGGATCCCTATTACCTTTGGAATTAAAAGTCTCAAACAAAACATCAGTCAGAAACTTTTGTACATTGAGAGTTTGCACATTTAAGTGTGAAAGATTTTCCTTGATTTAATAGTATGTTAGGGTTCTTACCTTGGTATCTGAATGGGGTAGTAAGGGAATATGTGATTTTGGTGTTTTTTTTTTGTTATTTGAGATAGAGTCTCACTCTGTCACCCAGGCTGGAGTACAGTGGCGCAGTCTTGCCTCACTGCAACCTCAACCTCCCGGGTTCAAGTGATTCTCTTGCCTCAGCTTCCCGAGTACCTGAGATTACATGCGTCTGCCACCATGCCTGGCTAACTTTTTTTAATTTTTATTTTTAGTAGAGATGGGGTTTCACTGTGTTGGCCAGTCTGGTCTCAAACTCCTGACCTCATGATCTGCCCACCTCAGCTTCCCAAAGTGCTGAAATTATAGGCATGAGCCATCGTACCCAGCGTGATAATTTTTAGTTGCTTTTAGGGGTAAAAAATTGCTTTGCAATGGTTTTTCCTGTAGCATTATATATGAGTACTTCCTATATTGCAAGGTCCTTCCTGTTTCTACTAGAAAAATTTTAAGCCCTCTTGTCCTTAGGATTTCTGTGCTATAGTAATATCTGATATCTTCATAACTTACTATTGCTCCATCCTCCCTGCACCCCTCCCCCTAGCCCCAAAGTTGTGCTAACCCCACATGATTTGACACCATGTTTGCCCTGCATATTTCCCTGGACTCTCCCATGGTTTGTTGTTGTTGTTGTTTCTTTGAGACAGAGTCTCACTCTGTCACACCCAGGATGGAGTACAGTGGTGCAGTCACTACAGCCTCAACCTCAAGTGACCATCCCACGTCAGCCTCCTGAGTAGCGGGGACCACACTCGATGAATTTTTACATTGTTTTGTAGAGACAGGGTCTCCTTATATTGCCCAGAGTGGTCTTGAACTCCTGGACTCAAGCAATCCTCCCGCTTTAGCCTCCCAAAGTTCTAGTACAGCTGTGAGCCATTGCACCCGACTGACTCCCATCTTACTGGTGATTTATAGATTGTATGTCAGTACTTTGACAATTTTTTTCAGAGTTTTGAGCAGCCTCTAGATATTTTCTTATATTTGGAATTCTGTTTATCTCAAGTGTTCTGAATTTTTCTTGGTGTTTCTATCCAGTTATAAGACAGCAAATTCATAAATAAATCCTTAGTAAATGCAAATGCCTGATTGATACCCTGGTCTTAAAACTAAAATATCATCTAGTCCTAAGGCATTTTGTTGTCCTGAGGAAAACATTTAGACACTTCAGTTTTCTGTAAACACTGAGAGAATTCATAGTATGCTATGCCCAGTGATTCTTGTGGGCTGAGTAAGCAAATCTGTCCCTCCATCCTCACCCCAAGGAATCAGTGATCTGAGAAGCAGTGTCTATTCTCGTACTGCAAGGCCTGGGATGGGACTGTTGCCAAAGTCATGGCGTAGTGGTATGTGCTTTTTGCAAGGCAGTTGCTGCATTTTACTGGTACTGAAAGTTTCAGAATTGCATTTTTTTTTACTTTATTATGAAAATATTTCAAAGTATACCAAAAGGAGGGCAATAGTTTATGTGTATATGGGTAGAGAGAGAGAGAGAGAGAGAGAGAGAGAGAGAGAGAGTGTGTGTGTGTGTGTGTGTGTGTGTGTGTGTATAAGCGCATATATTTCCTAGCTCTGTTGAAAGGGCCTTCAAGTTGGCCGGGCGCAGTGACTCACGCCTGTAATCCCAGCACTTTGGGAAGCTGAGGCATGCAGATCATGAGGTCAGGAGATCAAGACCATCCTGGCTAACACGGGGAAACCCCATCTCTACTAAAACAATACAAAAAATTAGCCAGGTGTGGTGGCATGCACCTGTAGTCCCAGCTACTAGGGAGGCTCAGGCAGGAGAATAGCTTGAACCCAGGAAGCAGAGGTTGCAGTGAGCTGAGATCGTACCATTGCATTCCAGCCTGGGTGACAGAGTGAGTCTCCATCTCAAAAAAAAAAAAAAAAAAAAAAGTTGGGGGTGGCCTTCAAGCAAATAAGGATACCTAGTTCCCAGACTTTGGTGTTTTATGCCATTTCCCATCTTAAACTAGGATTTCTCAGAAATAGCTGATTGCAAGGATGAGACAGGATGCATACAAGATAAGCCAGAATGTACAGCAATCTTAAAAAAAAAAAAAATCAGGGCGTGTTGAAAAAGACACATGGGCAGGTTTGAAGAGGCACCCACTGGCAGAATCTGGGACAATTTGAGCACCAAATAATTAAGGATATTAATGAGTTTATAGACCAACAGACAACAGGAAAAACAGGAGTCTGTGAGTCCATACCAATAATAAATAGGTATATAAACAGGGAAAAAGAGGATTTTACAGTGTGATACCAAATACTGGCTGGTAAATAGGGTGAGAAGGCTAGAGTGAGAAAATGAAGAGTGGTTTTATCATAATCATTAATGGATGCTAACTTTCAGGGAAAACTGAAGACCAAGATATTTGGATGATTTTAAAGTGTCTCCCCACAGATTGCATGCTAAATGCAATTGGGAAAGCAGTAACTAAATAGTAGAGAAACTAGAGACTAGAGAACACCTTGACCAAATGATCAAAATTAGCATCAGAGATAAAAGACAGATGAACACCATGGGCATCTAGAGGTGATGGTCTGAGAAGGACATGCCACCTCTTCAGTTAGTATTCTGCTCCATGGATGCTTAGTTTCAGTCTAACCACGAGAAAACATGGGACCAACCCAAAATGAATAATGTCTTTTTACAAAAGGGGACAGTTTTCTCTGGAAATGTCAATATCTTAATAGACAAAAGTTGTAGAAGTGTTCTAGATTAAAGAAGACCAAAGAGTTACGACAACCAAATATCTGATTCTAGATTGGATCTTGTGTTGGAGGGGGAAGATCAATATAAAGGTCATTATTGGGTCAATTGACAAAACTGGAATTGAGAGGGTAGATTAGATAAAAGCATTATTGATAACTAGTTATTTTTAAAAAAAAAAAAAAAAGGCCGTTCTTCTCAACCTGGGTCTGCAGAAGTAAGTCCTTATGACCTGAGGCATCCATCGTAAGTGAGGGATTAGCTTCTCTCATATACATTGGTAATGATACCAGCTAAGTACATCCTTGAGAAAATGGGAAAAGAGTCACTCACATCGTTTTCTGTAGGGCCAAATTCTCTCATGGAGCTGGATAACAGGCTGTAAAAGAATATCTTCATTCTTAAGAACTAGCCACTGAAGTATTTAGAAGTAAGGGATCATGACTTATGCAGTTTACTCTCGAGTAAGTTAAAAAAGAAAAAAAGAGCTCACTCATATGTGGAAGTCAAAAAACTTGGCTTCATGGAGGTAGAGAATAGAATGATAGATACCAGAGTCTGGGAAAGGTGTGTAGGTAGGATGGTAGGATAAAAAGGTTGGTTACATGAGTACAAATGTGAAGTTGAAGAAGGAATAAGTTCTAATGTTTGATAGCAGAGTAGGGTGGCTATGGTTAACAAGTGTATATTTCAAAATAGCTAGAAGAGAGGACTTTAAATGTTTTCAACACATGGATAAATACTGAGGTAATGGATACCTAGATATCCTGACTTGATCATTTCACAGTTTATATATGTAACAAAATACCACATGACATGTACTCCATAAATAAATACAAATATTTGTATCAATTTTTAAAAATTCTGCAAAAGAGTAAAAATAGGGAGAAATGTTAATAGGCAAATCCGGGTACATAGTTGATGAATTTTTATGTGTGCTTTTTTTTTTTCTTTTTTTAGTGTTGCAACATTACATTTTTTATGAAACTATCTTCTGCTGGGCTTGGTGGCTCATGCCTATAATCCCAGCACTTTGGGAGGCAGAGGAGAGCAGATCACCTGAGGTCAGGAGTTCGAGACCAGCTGGCAAACATAATGAAACCTTGTATCTACTGAAAATACAAAAATTAGTTGAGTGTGGTGGCAGGCACCTGTAATCCTAGCTACTTGGGAGGCTGAGGCAAAAGACTGGCTTGAACCCAGGAGGAGGAGGTTGCTGTGGGCTGAGATCATACCACTGCATTCCATCCTAAGCCACAGAGTAAGCCACTGTCTCAAAAAAAAAAAAATTATCCCCTTGTAAATGGTCATCTAATGCATTTAAAATTGGTAAGATTAGGCAGAGGTTTTACCAAAGACTGAAGTTTCCATGCTTTAATGAGCATTCAATGTTACGAAGGTAACAGTGTTACTCATAATATAGCAATTATGACAGCATGTGTTGTTGTTGTTTTTGTTTGTTTGTTTTTAAGACAGAGTCTCACTTTGTTGCCAGGCACCAGGCTGGAATGCAGTGGCACAATCTCGGCTCATGGCAACCTCCGCCTCCTGGGTTCAAGCAGTTCTCCCGCCTCAGCCCCCCAAGTAGCTGGGATTATAGGCACGTGCCACCCCACCCAGCTAATTTTTGTATTTTTAGTAGAGATGGGCTTTCACCATGTTGGCCAGGATGGTCTCGATCTCTTGACCTCGTGATCTGCCCACCTCGGCCTCCCAAAGTGCTGGGATTACAGGTTTGAGCCAGAGAATGTGTTTTTTGCAAGAAACTGATCACTTTATTTTGTTATTCTGCTTGAATTTATAAGGACCTTGATCTTACTCCAGTCTTTCTGAAATAAGGCAAGATATAAATAGGAATTGTATGAAGTGTTTAAGGTAGACACTTAGAATCATTCAGAACAGAAATAAGTTGAAAGTGTGTGGCTAAGAAATGTAATTCAAGATTACCATTTGATTTCTCTTTTTAGGAAGAACTCTTGGATATAAAAGAACTCCCCCATTCCAAACAGAGGCCTTCATGCCTTTCTGAAAAATATGACAGGTATGTGTCATTCTAGTCATTAACAACTTCTAGTCAATAACTCTTTGTTATTCCAAACTCTTAAATTAAGAGTTGTATTGTTTTGAAGTTTTCTGGTAGAATTATGAGTGGGGGAGAGATTTCAACAAGTAATAAGATGGGCTTCAACTACCAAGGAATGGAACTAAAACAAGGAAATGACCCAGAGTCACATAGAAAGCAGGTTAAAGACTTGAACCCAGGAGTCCTTACCAAAGTCTTGTTTCTCTACCAGTGTTTTTTTTGCACTGTACTTAGAGGGTACCTGCCTTAGGTATGTTTGCTCAGGAGAGCTGTTAGTTCTGTCTTTGCATTCCCACCAACAAAACTATTCAGCTATTCAGATGAGCTTTATTGCATCCTAGTTTCCCTCGGAAGAAGGAGGCTGTGGTTTGGGGATACTATAGCTAATAATGGTCTGAAAATCTCCTAAAATAATCCTATATTGGACTATTTATGGTCACTTCAGTCATTTCTTAAATATCAAGGTAGATGGTTCATATTAGCCTACATTTTTAAACATATAAAGCATCATATTAATGTTCAATTTCTTGGTTAAATAAGACGGACTTTTTTTTTTTTTTTTTTTTTTTTGAGAAAGGATCTCTTGCTCAGGCTGGAGTGCAGTGACAAAATCATAGTTCACTACATCCTCTAACTCCTGGGCTCAAGCAAACCGCCTGCTTTGGCCTTCTGAGTAGTTGGGACTGTAGGGACATACCACCACAAGGTTCCCATGATGTTTTTATTTTTTGTAGAGAAGGGTCTTACTATTTTGCTCGAGCTGGTGTCAAACTCCCGGGATTAAGCAGTCTTCAGGCATGAGCCACCACACCTGACCTAGGACAGACTATTTAAAATTTTTACATAGACTGTTGGGAAGGCCTGTTAAACCTTGATGCTTTTGGGTGCGGTGACTCACACCTGTAATCCCAGCACTTTGGGAGTCCAGGGCAGGCAGATCATGAGGTCAGGGGTCTGAGACCAACCTGGTAACATGGTAAAACCCCATCTCTAGTAAATATAAAAATTAGCTGGGTGTGGTGGCATGTGCCTATAGTCCCAGCTACTCAGGAGGCTAAGGCAGGAGACTCACTTGAACCCGGGAGGAGGAAGTTGCAGTGCGCCTAGACTGTGCCTTTGCACTCTAGCCTGTGTGACAGAGCAAGACTCCATCAAAAAGAAAAAAAAACAACCTTGCTGCCTCACCACATTCCCTGATGAAGGTGATATTTGAATAATGGCTATTCCAATTAGAATTTTTCATAAGTCTCAGTTAAGCTGGGTTTTTATTATTATTATTATTAAAGCGATAAAGATGCTGGGCGCAGTGGCTAAGCCTGTAATCCCAGCACTTTGGGAGGCTGAGGTGAGTGGATCACAAGATCAGAAGTTTGAGACCATCCTGGCCAACATGGTGAAACCCATCTCTACTAAAATACAAAAAATTAGCCGGGCATGGTGGTGTGCGCCTGTAGTCCCAGCTACTCAACCCGGGAGGCAGGAGAATCACTTGAATCCAGGAGGCAGAGGTTGCAGTGAGCCAAGATCATGCCACTGCACTCCAGCATGGCAACAGAACAAGACTCTGTCTCAAGAAAAAAAAAGCTATGAAGACTTTTTGTGCCTCAAGTTGAATTTTATTATTAATACTCTATTTCTTCTTGTCATAAAAATAGTTAGCATGGGCTGGGTGTGGTGTCTTATGCCTGTAATCCCAGTGCTTTGGGAGGTCAAGGCTGGAGGATTGCTTGAGGCCAGGAGTTCAAGACCAGCCTGAGCAACATAGCAAGACCTGTCTCTACAGAATATATTTTTAAAAATTAGCCAGGCATGGTGACACGTGCCTGTAGTCCTGGCTACTCAGGAGGCTAAGGTGGGAGGATCACTTGAGCCCAGAAATTTTAGCTGCATTGAGCTATGATCATGCCACTGCACCCTAGCCTGGGTGATGGAAATCTGAGACTCTGTGTAAAAAAAATAAAGTTTTCATGGGCAGACATACAGCTTTTACTTCTGAAGCTGAGGTATTGTGCCTAGTGATGAAAATAACAGAGGAGAGAGCTTCTCATTTTGTTTCACCTCTCTGAGAGCTAAAATTTGTTGGGCTCTTAAACCCTCCAGGTTATCCTTGCCACTATCCTAAAAGATAGGTAATATATCTTTCATTGTGAGGAGTTTGAGACTGAAAAGTTAACTCGCCTATTCAAGAAATGTTCATTGTTACCTGCTATGTGATAAATACTGTGCCAGCATGCATCAAATATTTCCTGGCTTCATGGAGCATTGGTCAACGGAAGGATACAATACTGGTAAAAATTTGTCCTTGCAAACATCACAGGCTGCAAAGGACAAGTGTGGAGTATAACATGGCCTGATCTAATCTGGGGGTTGGGAAGTCTTTTCTGCAGAAGATGCAGCTCAGTAACTTGTCCAGGATGTTCCCAATAGTGGTGGCAGAGCTAGAATTCCAGCCCATATTTTTGGGCTCAAGGGTTTCTGCTCTGCACGCTGTACTACCTGCCACTGCATCATTACATAGAGAATAACAAAATAAAACCTAAACACATTTTAGGTCATAAAGCTGTCTACTCTGCTTATAGAAAAACAGACTGTGCATAGAAATTCTGGAAAAATGCACATCAGTTGATCCAGGTGCTACTTCTGGTGAGAGAGTTAAGGGATTTTTTTTTTCCTGCTTTGTATTAATCTTTAGTAAACAACAGTTAATATTTATGGAGCATCTTCTTTGTGAAGTGCAGGGGTAGTTATTGTAATCCATGTGTACTCCAAGGTATATGATCTGAATGTTTCAATTATGTACAGACCATTAGTTTTCAAGTGAGTATTGGTGTTAGGTGATCAACAAAGTTACTGAATCAATAGTTGTTTTTGTTGTCATATTAAAACAGGTAACCATTCTGCAGGCAGTCATGAAGCTTTATATGAGAAATGGATTTCTGGCTGGGCATGGTGGCTCACATCTGTAATCTCAACACTTTGGGAAGCCAAGGCAGGCAGATTACTTGAGGTCAGGTGTTCAAGACCAGCCTGGCCAACATGATGAAATCCTGTCTCTACTAAAAATAGAAACATTAACAAGATGTGGTGGTGGGCATTTGTAATCCCAGCTACTGGGGAGGCTGAGGCAGAAGAATCACTTGAACCTGGGAGGTGGAAGTTGAAGTCAGCCTAGATCATGCCATTGCACTCCAGCCTGGGCAACAGAGCAAGACCTTGTCTGTCTGTCTCTGTCTGTCTGTCTGTCTGTCTGTCTCTCTCTCTCAGAGACACACACAATGGGTTTCCATAACTTATTACTTGAGGAGATTTAGAAATTAAACTGCCTCTATAGTTTATGGGCACAAGTGCTAACAGTTGTACTTTTTGACCTGTAGTGATGGTGTCTGGGACCCTGAGAAGTGGCATGCCTCTCTCTACCCGGCTTCAGGGCGGAGCTCACCAGTGGAAAGTCTGAAGAAAGAGTTGGATACAGACCGGCCTTCCCTGGTGCGCAGGATAGTAGGTGAGCACATAGTCACTCAGAAGTGGGCTTAGTGATTTTCGAGGACATGCTTTTGGCGGCTGCTTCCTTCTTAGCTCTGAGAATTTTATGCTTTGAGGGGAAATGTCATTATCAGGAAACTGATTTATCAGTTGGATTTTTCCTAATTAGCAGGGTAAAGTCATAGTCTGCTTTGTCACAGCTTTTAAGACTGTGTTAGGCTGTGTGCTTCTGAATTAAAAGTACTGACTATCTTTCATTGGCATGGATAACTGAGTTAGATGTGGTAGGTAGCATAAAGCTGTACTGGAAATCTGATCATGCTTTCTCTCATATATGAGACCAATCCCCAGGTATAAATCAGTTCTGGCATTTCTTAATTCATAATGGACTGTGATCTGAATAGAAGGCTTGGATATGGTTTGAGACTGGAGTTAAGTCTCATCTTCCACACTTTTGCTAGTTTAAAGCTTACCTCTTTAAACTAGAAACATTGTTTAAGTGTGAAATAGGAGACCAGGTAATATAATAGCCAGTCAAGGAACTTGTTGTAAAAACTTCTTAAGATGAGAAGACGATCCATCATAAAAACTTGGAACTAAATGAAAAAGATAACCTGACTCTAGTTTAAGCTATAAGATCCTTCTACACAGTCTGTCAGTACACAGTGCAGTAATGTGTCTCAAAGAATTTCTTCTAGCAGAATCATTAAAGATATGCAAGGACTTTTTTTTAAATGATGAAAATGGCCAGGTGCAGTGGCTCACTCCTGAAATCCCAGCACTTTGGGAGGCTGAGGTGGGTGGATCACAAGGTCAGGAGTTCGAAACAAGCTTGGCCAACATGGTGAAACCCTGTCTAATTTTTAAACTAAAAATTTAAAAATTAGCCGGGTGTGGTGGTGAGCACCTATAATCCCAGCTACTTGGGAGGCTGAGGCAGGAGAATCATTTGAATCTGGAGGCAGAGGTTACAGTGAGCTGAGATCGTGCCATTGCACTCCAACGTGGGCGACAGCTGAGACTTCATCTCAAAACAAACGAAAAAAGGAAAACTCAGAAGGAAAATATCCAACAGTAGAAATGGGTTGAATAAACTTTGGTATATCCAGGCATAGGAATATTACATTGCATTGTCCTGTAAAACCATGTTGCAGGCATGTTTATTGGTAAATAATGTTTGTGACTCATAACCAAGGTATAGAAAACTGTCCATATTATATCCTGTTCTTGGAAAAAACTGAGACGGTACACAGAAATTCTGTAAAAGTGTACACCAGAACATTCTAGGAGCTGTTTCTGATAAGAGAATTAAAGCAGATTTTTTTCATTTGGACTAATCTTCGGTTTCCTGGTTTTTCTAGGAAGATATTTTCTGTGTGGTGACATGTTTTTCCTACACCTTTATTGAGTTAGAATTTACATACTATAGCCTGTACAAAAAGTATACCATTTGATGTCTTGACATGTGTATATACCTGTGAAACCATTACCAAAATCAGCATAAGCATTTTTATCACCCCCAAAAGTTCCCTAGTATTCCTGTGTATTCCTCCCTTTAGCCCCCTTACCCCAACATTTCTCCCCATCCATGCAAGCACTCATGTGCTTTCTCTTTTTTTTTTTCTTTTTTTGAGATGGAGTCTCTCTTGTTGCCCAGGCTGGAGTGCAGTGTCATGATCTCTGCTCATTGCAACCACTGCCTCCCAGGTTAAAGTGATTCCCCCACCTCAGCTTCCCGAGTAACTAGGATTACAAATGCACATTCCACTATGCCCAGCAAATTTTTTTTTTTTCCCCGAGACGAAGTCTTGGTGTGTCACACAGACTAGAATGCAGTGGTGCAATCTTGGCTCATTGCAACCTCTGCCTCCCAGGTTTAAGCGATTCTCATGCCTCAGCCTCCCAAGTAGCTGGGACTATAGATAGGCATGCGCCACCACGCCCAGCTGCCTTACGTATTTTTAGTAGAGAGAAGGTTTCACCACGTTGGCCAGGCTGGTCTTGAACTCCTGACCTCAAGTGATCCAGTGATCCACCCGCATTGGCCTCCCAAAGTGCCAGGATTATAGGTGTGAGCCGCCATGCCCGGCCCCAATTTCTTTGTTTTTAGTAGAGACGAGGTTTTACCATGTTGTCTAGGCTGGTGTTGAACTCCCAACCTCAGGAGATCCACCTGCCTTGGCCTCCCAAAGTGTTTGAATTACAGGCATGAGCCACAGTGCCTGACCTGATCTGCTTTCTATAGCTGTTTTCTGTCCCTATAGATAAGTTTACATTTCCTAGAATTTTATATAAATGGAGTTATTATAATGTGTCCTCCTTGTGTAGCTTTTTTCACTAAGCATAATTAAGATTCATCCATGTTGTTGTGTCTAGTTTATTTTCATTGCTTATTAGTATTCCATTGTATGACTTTAGCAGTTGATCCATTTATTTGTTAATGCACATTTGGGTTGTTTCCAGTTTTTGACTGTTATAACCAAAGCTGCTATGAACATCCATGTACAAGTCTCTATATGGACATATGCTTTCTTTTCTCTTGGGTAAATACCTAGGATTAAAATGGCTGGGTTGTATAGTAGATGTATGTATGTTTAACCTTCTGAGAAACTGCCAAACTGTTTTCCAAAGTAGTTGTACCATTTTACGTTTCCACCAGCGGTGTTTGAAAGTTCCACTTGCTCCACATCCTCGTCAGCACTTGGAATGGTCAGTTGTTTAAATTTTAGCCATTCTAATAGGTGTGTAGTATTATCACATGGTTTAATTTGCATTTCCCTGATGACTAATGATGTTGATTATCTTTTCATATGCGTATTTGCCATCCGCATAACCCCTTTGGTGAAGTGTCTGTTCAAACCATTTGTCCATTTTTTAATTGAATTTTTTCATTAAGAGGTTTTATGTGTTCTGAATGTAAGTCCTTATCAGAAAAATGCTTTGAAATATTTTGTCCCAGTGCAGTCTGTGGCTTGTCTTTGCATTCTCTAAACAATGTCTTTCAAAGAAATAGACGTTTTAAATTTTGATCAAGCCCAGTATATCAGTTTTTTTAAATGGATTGATACTTTTGGTGTCATGCCTAAAAAAGCTTTGCCTAACCCAATGCCACAAGGATTTGCTCTTACATTTTCTTCTAGAATTTTTTAGTTTTAGGTTTTACATTTAGATCTGTGATCCATTTTGAATTTTTGTATATATCTGGTACCAAATACAGATTCTTTTTTCTGAGATGGAGTCTCACTCTGTTGCCCAGGCTGGAGTGCAATGGTATGATCTCGGCTCACTGCATCCTCTGCCACCTGGATTCAGCTGGTGGAATCCAGGTGAACCACCTGGCCCCAAATATAGATTTAAGTTCATTTCTTTGTCTATGGATATCTGACTGTTCAACACTGTTTTGTTGAAGAGACACTTTAACTTTTTAAGCAGTTATTTTTTCAAATACTGACACCTACTGTATTTTTAGTTGACAAAACATTTGCTAATAATTCTTAGGTAAGGATTTAGTCAAAATAAAGGCACTGTAGACACTAATCATGGAAAATCATTTATTCTGAAGTACATGTATTGTTCCAAAGAGAAAAGCCAGTGTCTCAGCCTTATTTAAATATATAATGTATATGTTAGCCTGAATCTGTTGATAAGGCCAGTTTTAGTAGTGACTGTCTTCCAACCATTCCCTTCCTCCCATTAGTCATGGATATACCATCTTAAAAAGAAAAAACACCTCGTTGATTTGCTTAACTTTCTCTTTCCCATGTCATTCTAGATCCACGAGAGCGTGTAAAAGAAGATGACTTAGATGTTGTTCTCAGCCCTCAGAGGCGGAGCTTTGGAGGGGGCTGCCACGTGACAGCTGCTGTTAGTTCTCGGCGCTCAGGAAGTCCATTAGAAAAAGACAGTGATGGGCTTCGTCTGCTTGGTGGACGTAGGATTGGCAGTGGGAGGATAATCTCTGCCCGGACCTTTGAGAAGGATCACCGTCTTAGCGATAAGGACCTGCGGGACTTGAGAGACAGAGACCGAGAGAGGGACTTCAAGGACAAGCGTTTCAGGGTTTGTCTTCTAGATTCTTTGGTAGTTCATGTGCTTGGGACACATTGACTTCATTTATATCAGGTTACTTTGAGAAAAGGCCTGAACACAGCCAGCTCTTAAACCAGTCAGGGAGGAAGGGGCTGGGGGTGGTGATGGGCCTCAGGTGTACAGCATTGTATCTTCCTTTCACTATTGACCATTACAGTGAAGACCTTGATTGAAGTAGAAATACCTTGACTAGATATTTTTAAATCTTCTTTTATGTACTTTTCCAGAGAGAGTTTGGGGATAGTAAGCGTGTCTTTGGTGAACGCAGAAGAAATGATTCTTACACAGAAGAAGAACCAGAGTGGTTCTCAGCTGGACCCACAAGTCAGTCTGAAACCATCGAACTGACTGGCTTTGATGATAAGATACTAGAAGAAGATCACAAAGGGAGAAAAAGAACAAGGCGACGGACAGCCTCTGTGAAGGAAGGTCAGTGCAAACGTTGGGAAGGAAGTTTGCTGTTTTAAAATGAGAATGTAGGCTGGGTGCAGCGGCTCACAGCTGTAATCCCAGCACTTTGGGAGGCCATGCAGGCAGATCACCTGACATGAGGAGTTCAAGACCAGCCTGGCCGGGCATGGTGGCTCACGCCTGTAATCCTAGCACTTTGGGAGGCCAAGGTGGGTGGATCACGAGGTCAAGAGATGGAGACCATCCTGGTCAACATGGTGAAACCCCGTCTCTACTAAAAAAAATACAAAAAAAAAAAAATTAGCTGGGCATGGTGGCGCGTGCCTGTAATCCCAGCTGCTCAGGAGGCTGAGGCAGGAGAATTTCCTGAACCCAGGAGGCAGAGGTTGCAGTGAGCCGAGATCGCGCCATTGCACTCCAGCCTGGGTAACGAGCGAAACTCCATCTCCAAAAAAAAAAAAAAAAAAAAAAAGCCGGGTGTGGTGGTTGGCTCCTGTATGCCCAGCTATTCGGGAGGCTGAGGCACAAGAATTGCTTGAACCTGGGAGGTGGAGGTTGCAGTAAGCTGAGTTCACACCACTGCACTCCAGCCTCTGTCTCAAAAATAAATAGAGATGTGATTATCGCTGGCTAATTGTACACTTAGGAATGGGCACCAGATGTATAGGAAATGGCAAGTTTTTCATGATGCATCCTGATTTTAAAACTGCTTTTTTTTTTTTTCTTTAAATGGAGTCTTCCTCTGTTGCCCAGGCTGGAGTATAGCACCATCTTGGCTCACTGCAGCCTCCATCTCCCAAATTCAAGTGATTCTCCCCTGCCTCAGCCTCCCTAGTAGCTGGGATTACAAGTGTCTGCCATGATGCCCGGCTAATTTTTTAATTTTTAGTAGAGAAGGGGTTTCTCCATGTCGGCCAGGCTGGTCTTGAACTCCTGACCTCAAATGATCCACCCACCTCGGCCTCCCAAAGTGTTGGGATTACAGGCGTGAGCCACCGTGCCTGGCCCCTGAAACTGCGTAAGTGAGAATTCACTAAGTGTAGATTGTACTATTTCCTTAACTTGTTCTGCCTGCCACACTAAACAGAAAAGTTTTAAGTTACCATGTGAGAGCACTGTGTACATGAAAGTTTCCAGAAATAAGAAATGTGGTAGGAATAAGAAGTCTTATTTATTGAGCATTGTGTCCAACACAGTGGTGAGTGTTTTGTCTGTATAATTCTTTGTCTCCTAATGACCTCGTGTAGTGTAGGTACTTTTTTTTCTGCCCATTTCATAGATGAGCAAATGGAGACTCAGAGGGCTTAAGTAACTTAAGGACACTTAAGGTAGTCACTGTGGAAATAAGTAGTGAAGTCGAGAGTAGAGCAAGATGCTTTTGAGCATCAGAGCCTACCTTCATCGCAGTATTAGGCCTTCCCAGGTCAGTTGCTTGTGATTTGCCTTCTCTCTTAGTTTCAGGCCAGGGGCAGTGGCTCACAATTGTAATCCCAGCACTTTGGGAGGCCAAGGTGGATGGATCATTTGAGGTCAGGAGTTTGAGACCAGCCTGGCCAACATGGTGAAACCCCGTCTCTACTGAAAATACAGAAATTAGGCAGGTGTGGTAGTGGCACCTGTAATCCTAGCTACTTGGGAGGCTGAGGAAGGAGAATCACTGGAACCCGGGAGGCGGAGGTTGCAGTGAGCCAAGATTACACCACTGTACTCCAGCCTGGATGATGAGAGCAAAACTCCGTCTCCAAAAAAAAAAAATTAGCCAGGCAATGGTGGTGCACGCCTATAACTTCCAGCTACTGGAGAGGCTGAGGCAGAATAATTGCTTGAACCCAGGAGACAGGTTGCCACAAGATTGTGCCACTGCACTCTAGCCTGGGCAACAGAGTTGAGATTCTGTCACAAAAAAAAAAAAAACAAACTTAGTTTCCTCAGCTGTAAGATGGGGTCCCATATCTCCCTTGCTCAACTGAAGGAGCCAGAGCTCTTGTATTTGAAGTGCCTGCCTCAGAGTGGTCTGCAGCCAGTCATTTTTATGGCAGTGAGCTGGCTCTGAGGTGGCCAGTCCCAGTCTGATGGTCTTGGGAAGGAGGCAGTAAAGAGCCAGGTGAGGACTAGTCTGGGTGAAAGTACTGGGGCTGCTGCTTAGAAAAGGATAAATTTTGACCGCTGGGCCTGTTTCTTTGTAAAGTGAAGACAATGCCTATTATAACTTAAGGCTTAATTTAAGCATTGAAGATCAAATGTACCCATCAGAACTCAGCCTCCAAGTAGGCACGTGGTAAATTCTAGTTGCTTCAAGCTTTCAGGCTTAGTTGAAAGCCTTTTGGCAGAACTAAGGCAACAGAAGGGGAAAGCTATTTTAATAAATAAGGGAAAAATCTATGCCACCTTAATATATTGATGAAGACAAATTTAAGCAGAAGTAAGCTGATAGCATTTATTTAGAAGGAGGAAAAAAAAGCCGGGCGCGGTGGCTCACACCTATAATCCCAGCACTTTGGGAGGCCAAGGCGGGTGGATCACAAGGTTAAGAGATCGAGACCATCCTGGTCAACAAGGTGAAACCCCATCTCTACTAAAAATACAAAAATTAGTTGGGCATGGTGGTGCACGCCTGTAGTCCCAGCTACTCGGGCAGCTGAGGCAGGAGAATTGCTTGAACCCAGGAGGCGGAGGTGAGCCGAGATCATGTCATTGCACAACAGCAAAAACTCCATCTCAAAAAAAAAGGAGAAAAAAAAAATCAGTCATCTTTTTTTGTAGTCTTGAAAATACAGTACATATCATTATCTTTGTGCTTTCACACATTCTTCCCTAGAATAACGTAGGAAATTGACAGGTAACTTGGAAGACTTCACTATTAAATTGCCTTTGAGATATGTCTTTGTCTCATTCCTAATTAAAGGAGCACCAGCAAGTATGACTTTGCATCTCACAATAAAGATCAGGCTTTTGGTGAAAAAAACTTACGTTTTTCTTAACTGAGATGAAATCTGAATTTCAACCATTCTTGTATCAAGTGCAGGTGCCAAAAGGAATGAGACAGATTGATAGTGGCACCTCCTCATTTTACAAATGCAGAGCGAGATTGACACCGGGAGAGAAGGGGTGGATTTAATGCAGAGCCTGGAGTAGAATCCAGGGGTCTTGGTTCATTCCCTTAGATAACTACAGAAGGTCTCTAGGCTGTCCTTGCTATATATTTAAAATAAATAAAAATATTAAAAACTAAGATGTCAGATGCCTTAAATGTTAGCACTTGGCAGTTTCACTTTTTCTTTCCTAAAAACAACTGAACATTGTAAAGTATACCTAGCACTATAGAGTAAGACAAAGCTGATTAGACCAGGTTACCTATGCTTAGGGAGTTTAGCCTCACCAGAGAGTTACTGTTGTATATTGTAGTAAGTACTCCGATGACACAAGCATCGTAGAGAAGGTAGCAATTAATTTTACTGGGAGGGCAAAAATGGTTAGGCGGGGCAGGCTTCCCAGAGAATGTCACATTTGAATTCCGCCTTGAAGGATGAGCTACAACAACTAACCTGTAGGTAAGTGAAAGTTGCCCTCATGTCAGGTTTCTCATAAATACCTTAGGTTGCTGAGCCCTGACTGAAAGTGGTGCTACAGGTGCATGGGCAAAGACACAGCTAAATTAATTTGGTTCTATTTTTAAGCAGTAAGAGACTTGCAAAGACTATCCTTTAAAATATATATATATATCACTAGAAAAAGAACTGGGCACAGTGGCTCGCTCCTGTAATCCTTGCACTTTGGGAGACCAAGGCGGGAGGATCACTTGAGGCCAGAAGTTCAAGTCGAGGCTATGCAGTTTAGCAAGACTCATTCTCTACAAAAAATTTAAAAATTAGCTAGACATGGTGGTATGTGCCTGTTGTCCCAGCTACTCTGGAGGCTAAGGCAGGAGGATCACCTGAGCCCAGGAGGTAGAGGCTACAGTGAGCTATCATTGTGCCACTACTCTCCAACCTGTGCAACAGAGCAAGACCCTGTCTCGAAAAAGAAAACCACCTCCACTATAGACAATAGAAAGTTCTCAGCCAGGTGCCGTGGCTTACACCTTTAATCCCAGCACTTTGGGCAGCTGAGGAGCATGGATCTCCTGAGGTCAAGAGTTCAAGACTGGACAACATAGTGAAACCCCATCTCTACTGAAAATACAAAAATAGTGGGGCGTGGTGGTGCGTGCCTGTAATCCCAGGTACTCGGGAGGCTGAGGCAGGAGAATCACTTGAACCCTCGAGGCGGAGGTTGCAGTCAGCTGAGATCACGCCATTGCACTCCAGCCTGGGCAACAAGAGCGAAACTCCATCTCAAAAAAAAAAGAAAAAGAAAAAATATGAAGGTCTCAGGAAGGGGACCATAATCCTTCCCCCATTCTGTTGGTGTTTTGGCTTTATTAAAGCTTTTTTCCTCTTCTACCTCCTATAGAACGGGGACTGTTTTGTTCTCGCAAATACAGTATCTGCACCAGAAGTCTGCTTTTAAAGTCATCTGTGGCTTTTCTGCATGTGTATTGAGGGCTGAAGCCACAGAGTGACACTGGAGTGGTTTACTTATCAGATGGTTTTTGTCCTGGTTTTGCTTTCAGGTATAATAGAGTGCAATGGAGGAGTGGCCGAAGAGGATGAGGTAGAGGTCATCCTTGCACAGGAGCCTGCGGCTGATCAAGAAGTGCCAAGGGATGCTGTCTTGCCTGAGCAGTCCCCAGGAGAATTTGACTTTAACGAGTTCTTTAACCTTGATAAGGTGCCAGGCTTGGCTTCGGTGAGTGTAGCAGCACACTTTAAAATGTGTGGTTAAGGCCGGGCGCAGTGGCTCAAGCCTGTAATCCCAGCACTTTGGGAGGCCGAGGCAGGTGGATCACGAGGTCAAGAGATTGAGACCATCCTGGTCAACATGGTGAAACCCCGTGTCTACTAAATATACAAAAAAAATTAGCTGGGCATGGTGGCACGTGCCTGTGGTCCCAGCTACTCAGGAGGTTGAGGCAGGAGAATTGTCTGAACCCAGGAGGCAGAGGTTGCAGTGAGCCGAGATCGGCCATTGCACTCCAGCCTGGGTAACAAGAGCGAAACTCCGTCTCAGAAAAAAAAAAAAAGTGTGGTTAAATTTGACCTGAGTATTTAAGACATCTTTTTGAAAGTTGTTTTGCTAGATGCTTTTGTGTGTTTTGGCTTTTATTCTTACATATTTAAATTTTTATTGGCTTTGTTTTGAGAGGCCTAGAGGATGATATGAAATCAGATTTTTATACTAGGTAACTCTTTTGTTAAGCTGGTGGTAAACTAAAAATTCTTTTTTTTTTTTTTTTTTTTTTTTTAGACCAAGTCTCACTCTGTCGTGGTGCCGTCTTGGCTAACAGCAACCTTCCCCTCCCAGGTTCAAGCTATTCTCCTGCCTCAGCCTCCCAAGTAGATGGCACTACAGGCACACGCCACCATGGCTGGCTTATTTGTATTTTTAGTAGACATGAGGTTTCACTATGTTGGCCAGGCTGGTCTTGAACTGCTGACCTTATGATCTGCCTGCCTTGGCCTCCCAAAGTGCTGGGATTATAAGCATGAGCCACCATGCCTGCCATAAAATTTTTTAGATGTTTGCATTGTCTCCTTTTGGTTAGTTGTTTGTAGACTTACTGTGAAGGTGGCTTTTTATAACTGACAATTTTGTCACAGACTTGCATTCCTTGGGGGAGGCTGCCTGATTAGGCAATATATTTTAGATGTGATCGTTTCAAAAACCTTTAATGAAAAGGAACTTGTAATACTATCAGTATTGCTGTTAAACTCTAGAGGTCCAGTCTTTCTGGACTTTAAAAATAGTAGTAAACTCTCCCTCAATCTTGTGCTATGCACCCTTGTTCCTGCCCCATCAGCATTTCTGGATTAGGATCTACTCCTTAATCGTAATGGCTCCTTATTTGATTATTGGAGGAGCAGACAAAGCTAGGCACAACAAAGCAGGCAACACTGGCCTATCTCCGTTGTCATTTCGTGCTCCCCTACACCCAGGAGATTGCCACCAAAAATAAGTGAGCAGGCACAGCATAGTACTGATAGGTACAGGGCCACTGATGTATTCTAAGGCAGTCTTAGATTTTCTTTTTTTGCGACAGTCTCTCTCTGTAGCCAGGCTTGAGTACAGTGGCCTGATCTTGGCTCACTGCAACCTCCACCTCCTGGGTTCAAGCAGTTCTCCTGCCTCAGCCTCTTGAGTAGCTGGGAGTACAGATGCGCGCCACCACGCCCAGCTAATTTTTATATTTTTAGTAAAGATGGGGTTTCGCCGTGTTGGCCAGGCTGGCCTCAATCTCTTGACCTCATGATCTTAACGCCTCAGCCTCCCAAAGTGCTGTGATTACAAGCGTGAGTCACTGCGCCCAGCCTCTTCTTATATTTTCTATGATGAGGTGCGAGGCTTTATTTCTATTCCATTGAAGACCAGTGTTTTAGTATAAAGCACAAATGTCATGGCAAAACCAGATTAGTGTAAAAGTTTCTTCATTTTAATTTGGAGATGGAGCCTTGCCCTGTCACCCAGGCTGGAGTGCAGTGATGTGATATTGGCTCACTGCAACCTCCACCTCCCGGGTTCAAGCAATTCTCCTGCCTCAGCCTCCCAAGTAGCAGAGACTACAGGTGCACGCTACCATGCCCGGCTAATTTTTTGTGGCTTGGTAGAGATGGGGTTTCACTGTGTTGCCTACGCTGGTCTCAAACTCCTGAGCTCAGGTAATCTGCCTGCCTCGGCCTCCCAAAGTGTTAGGATTACAGGCATGAGCTACTGCACCCTGCCTTTTTTTTTTTTTTTGGCACAATCTCGCTCTGCTGCCCAGACTGGAGTGCAGTGGCATAATCTCATTTCACTGCAACCTCTGCCTCACGGATTCAAGTGATTCTCCCGCCTCACCCTCACAAGTAGCTGGAATTACAGGTGCCAACCACCACACCCGGCTAATTTTTGTATTTTTAGTAGAGGCGGGGTTTCACCCTGTTGGCCAGGCTGGTCTCAAACTCCTGACCTCAAGTTATCCACCCGTCTTGGCCTCCCAAAGTGCTGGGATTATAGGTGTGAGCCACGATGCCCAACCAGTTTCTAAGCGTTTATTCTCACTTCCTGAACTTAACTGAATAGACCAGCATGGTCCACACTTGTCTGTAGCACTGCTCTGGAGCATATGGAATGTGGTTCCAAATCAATGTTGGCAACTCTTCATGTGGTTTTGTTCCTAAAGTTATAGCAGTAATTTTAATTGTAAGTCTCCTAGCCACATGCCTCAGCTACAGTCTCCCAAGCCAGTCCTTTGGATCATATTCAGATGTAAGCTTAATTTAGTTGATCTAAACCGAGTGTCCCTTTCAAATTCTTAACTTCTGAGGGCACAGTACTTCTTTTTCCACATCAACTGTTTAGTGACTTTTTTTTTCTCTTAGAAGACAGATGGCAATCTTTTTTTCTTTTATTTTCTTTGCTTTTTTTTTTTTGGAGACAGAGTTTCTTACTCTGTCACCCACGCTGGAGTACAGTGGTGTGATCTCAGCTCACTGCAAGCTCTGCCTCCAGGTTCAAGCCATTCTTGTGCCTCAGCCTCCTGAGTAGCTGGGATTATAGGCACACACCACCATGCCCGGCTAATATTTGCATTTTTAGTAGAGACAGGGTTTCCCCATGTTGGCCAAGCCGGTCTTGAACTCCTGACCTCAGGTGATCCGCCTGCCTCGGCCTCCCAAAGTGCTGAGATTACAGGCGTGAGCTACCACGCCCTGCCTTCTTTGTTTCTTTTTTTTTTTGACAGACTCTCCGTCACCAAGGCTGGAGTGCAATGGTCCAATCTAGGCTCACTGCAGTCTGCACCTCCTGGGTTCAAGTGATTCTCCTACCTTAGCCTCTGGAGTAGCTGGGATTACAGGTGCCCACAACCATGCCCCCAGCTAATTTTTGTATTTTTAGTAGAGACAGGTTTCACCAGGCTGGTCTCAAACTCCTGACCTCAGGTGATCCACCTGCCTGGGCCTCCAAAAGTGCTGGGATTACAGGCGTGAGCTGCACCTGGCTTTTTTTTTTTTTTTCGTTATTTTTTAAATTCCTGGTTATCACTAAGATGCTTATATCTTGGATACACTCCCCAGTTTTTCAAAGCAATGTATCACTCCTAATGCTTCTTATATTTTAATTAATACAAAATTATTGCATTTAAAAGTCAGCATTATTTAAGGTGTGAGCATCTACAGGTGGAATGTGATTGAAACTGATAATTCCTCTGAAAATAGAAATTCTAGAAACAAAAATTAGGGTCTTGAATTAAAATAGAGAAGTATTTTGTGGCTTAGTTTGGGTATGGATTATGAAAACATTCTTCCAGATAAGAATAAAGAATAAATATAAGCTTCCCCTGTTTAACTTTGGAAACTGGGGGTTTCAGATTTCAAGTAAAAGTCACTCTAATTCTGTCATCCATGTACCAGTGTTTGAAAAAGCATGTTTTCTGTTTATCATTTGGATTGAAGTGAAAGTATATGCTTTATTTTTATGGATATCTCTGATTGCTGGACAGATGTTTGCTCCATCTAGTCTTTTCTAAATAGAAGAATACTGCAAAATAATCACTTTGGATATTTGAATTTATGGTATGATTTGAATTGAAATTCTTAAAAAATGCTTAAATCTAGCTTGTAAAGAAGGTTGGCACTATTTCATAATTCTAAAGAAATTATTTTGGATCATAGTACATTAATTGCCCTTATTAAACAAAAAGTATGGAGGTTGGATTTGGAAGCAAACAAACAAAACACCTGAAAATGCCCCATTAAGCTCAAACAAATTAGATATCAGTTGAAAGTTCATATTCCATAGTCTGATACTTTTTCTAAATGCTTACTTGGAATTATGAGAGAGAGAGAGAGAGAGAGAGATATTAAAATACATATATATATATATATTTTTTTTTTTTCTGAGAGAGTCTTGCTCTGTCACCCAGGCTGTAGTACAATGGCACGATCTCCACTCACCACAAACTCCGCCTCCTGGGTTCAAGTGACTATCCTGCTTCAGCCTCCAGAGTAGTTGGGATTATGGGCATGCGCCACAATGTCTGGCTAACTTTTTGTATTTTTTGTAGAGATAGAGTTTCACCATGTTTGCCAAGCTGGTCTCAAACTCCTAAGCTTGTGATCTGCCTGCCTTGGCCTCCCAAGGTGCTGGGATTACAGGCATGAGCCACTGCACCCAGATGAATTTTTTTTTTCTTTTTAGATGGAGTTTCACTTATTGCCCAGGCTGGAGTACAGTGGCGTGATAGTTCACCGCAACCTCCGCCTCCCAGGTTCAAGCGATTCTCCTGTCTCAGCCTCCCAAGTAGCTGGGATTGCAGGCATGTGCCACCACACCCTGATAATTTTTTTGTATTTTTAGTAGAGATGGGGTTTCTCCATTTTGGTCAGGCTGGTCTTGAACTGACCTCAGGTGATCCACCCGCTTCAGCCTCCCAAACTGCTGGGATTTCAGGCGTGAGCCACCACGCCTGGCCTAGAATTACGATCTTTATGAGCTCTACTTTTTTAGTCTTTGACTTCTAAAAGTGTCAGGATTGAATTTCATAATGTTCATTACAACCTTGAAGCCACCAAGTTTGAAGCAATGATTTTCTTTCATCCTTTCCCCATACTTGATGTATAGTTGACAGTCACTCATCAGCTTGTCAGTGGAATGCTGTGTGTTGATTTTGATTTTGACACTGTCCTCTGAGAACATTTGTTAGTACATGGATTTTTCTCCTGAGGCAAAGAAAGGATAGAAAACTGAAACACTTTTTGTAGCAATAGAAGCTTTGCTTTATATTCTTAGAAAGTAGGTGGGCGCAGTGGCTCATGCCTATAATCCCAGCACTTTGGGAGGCCAAGGCAGGTGGACCATTTGAGGTCAGGAGCTCAAGACAAGCCTGGCCAACATGGTAAAACCCTGTCTCTACTAAAATTAGAAAAAAAATTTTAGTCGGGTGTGTGGTAGCACATGCCCGTAGTCTCAGCTACTCGAGAGGCTGAGGCATGAGAATCACTTGAACCTGGGAGGTAGAGGTTGCAGTGAGCCAAGATTGCACCACTATACTTCAGCCTGGGCAACAAAGCAAGACTCTCTTAAAAACTTAATTTAAAAATTTTTAATTAATTTTTAAAAAGGTAATACCCGAGTTTGGGTTATTCAGATATGACCCAGGAAGGGGGAAGAAAAAGGTGTTCAAATTCCTAGGTTCTGAGAGTGTTTAAGTCACCAGCATCAAAGGAAGTTTCAAAGTAAGTGACCCTTTCATAAGATTTTAACCTTCTTGTCCTTTTTCATCTAGAAACTTAGTTTTTATTGTCTTTTTCTTCAGATGATAGAAGATGTTTTGGGAGAAGGGTCAGTCTCTGCCAGTCGGTTCAGTAGGTGGTTCTCTAACCCGAGCAGATCAGGAAGCCGATCCAGCAGTCTTGGGTCAACACCACACGAAGAGCTAGAGAGACTTGCAGGTAAAATGGCTTCAGATTCTGGCCTTAAAGGTAAACCTGGGTTTTTCTCTGGTAAGGTTCATTCTGTCTTCATTAGACAGGAATTGATTAGGGTCGAAGGGTCTCTGGACAACTGAAAAGCCTTCAGTTTGTGTCCTTTTAATATTGTTGAAGGGACCAGGCATAGTGGATCATGCCTGTAATCCCAGCACTTGAGGCTAGCAGATCACAAGATCAGGAGTTTGAGACCAGCCTGGCCAACATGGTGAAAGCCCATATCTACTAAAAATACAAAAATTAGCTATGCGTGGTGGTGCACGCCTGTAGTCCCAGCTACTTGGGAGGCTGAGGCAGGAGAATCACTTGAAACCGGAAGGCAGAAGTTACAGTGACCTGAGATCACACCACTGCACTCCCGCCTGGGTCAAAGAGTGAAAATCTCAAAAAGGAAAAAAAAAACTGTTGAAAGGTATGTTTCTTTATTGGAACAGATTAATTTTAAGTATATTTATTTGCAATAATAGGTCTGGAGCAAGCCATCATCTCTCCTGGACAGAACTCGGGGAATTACTTTGCTCCTATACCATTGGAAGACCATACTGAAAATAAAGTGGATATTTTAGAAATGCTACAGAAAGCCAAAGTGGATTTGAAACCGCTTCTTTCCAGCCTTTCTGCAAATAAAGAAAAACTTAAAGAAAGCTGTAAGTGTTATGAACATCTGCTTCAGATATCTGAAAAAGTCTAGATGTTCATTCTTCAGGCAGTGGGGTCTACCATACCTCTGTTTCATAAAAAGTCAAATATATATTGGGATTTTGTTTAATGTTCTTTTTTTTTTTTTTTTTTTTTTTGAGACGGAGTTTCGCTCGTTACCCAGGCTGGAGTACAATGGCGCGATCTCAGCTCACCACAACCTCCGCCTCCTGGGTTCAAGCAATTCCCCTGCCTCAGCCTCCCGAGTTGCTGGGACTACAGGCGCACGCCACCACACCCAGCTAATTTTTGTATTTTTTAGTAGAGACAGTGTTTCACCTTGTTGACCAGGATGGTCTCAATCTCTTGACCTAGTGATCCACCCGCCTCGGCCTCCCAAAGTGCTGGGATTATAGGCATGAGCCACCACACCCGGCCTAATGTTCTTTTTTTAAAAACTCATTTCATCAAACAATACCACCTCTTTGAGAATTTCACAGTGGGTCATGAGCTCTATGGGAAATTTTCCTTTTAAGTTCTTACCTAGGGCCTGATTGTAGTAATCCAGTGAATGTTGAAAACAAACTCTAGTGAATGTTTTATTCCTCCAGAGCATTAACTTACCATTTCCTCACAACTCTGCCATAGTCTTCCATGTTCTTGCTTAGGCTTTAAATCCTCAACATAAAAATTTAGTGATATAATGACCACAGTGCAGGTAGGAATCTTGCCAATATTGGGCTATCTGGGATTCATATCTTTCTGCAGGATGCACAGCAGGAGCTTGTCAACTTTTGTTTTGTTTTGTTTTGAGACGGAGTTTCTCTCTTGTTACCCAGGCTGGAGTGCAATGGCGCGATCTCTGCTAACTGCAACCTCCGCCTCCTGGGTTCAGGCAATTCTCCTGCCTCAGCCTCCTGAGTAGCTGGGACTACAGGCACGTGCCACCATGTCCAGCTAATTTTTTGTATTTTTAGTAGAGATGGGGTTTCACCATGTTGACCAGGATGGTTTTGATTTCTTTTTTTTTTTTTTTAATTTTTTATTGGATTTTAGGTTTTGGGGTACATGAGCAGAGCATGCAAGACAGTTGCGTAGGTACACACATGGCAGTGTGCTTTGCTTTTCTTCTCCCCTTCACCCACATTTGGCATTTCTCCCCAGGCTATCCCTCCCCACCTCCCCCTCCCACTGGCCCTCCCCTTTTCCCCCCAATAGACCCCAGTGTTTAGTACTCCCCTTTCTGTGTCCATGTGTTCTCATTTTTCATCACCCACCTATGAGTGAGAATATGCGGTGTTTCATTTTCTGTTCTTGTGTCAGTTTGCTGAGGATGATGTTCTCCAGATTCATCCATGTCCCTCTCCGCGGACACAACGAGAGCTCCAATCCTAGGTTGTTCTCACAGCGCCATCTTGAGTCCTCCTTTTTCGGTTTTGATTTCTTGACCTCATGATCCACCCGCCTCGGCCTCCCAAAGTGCTGGGGTTATAGGCTGGAGCCACCGCGCCCGGCCGCTTATCATCTTTTAAAGCATAACACCTCATAGTTGTGGTCCCCTGGTTTCTAGCATCTAAACATTATTGGTTTAGTTTATGCCATCTCTTACTTAGTAACTCAATATGATTTTAAATATCTTCAGTTTGTCTATTTTTGGTGTCAGCCATTTCTGACAGTCTCATCTCAATTTTGAAATAGATTTATTTCCATCTTATCTATCATACTAACCAAAGATAATTCCTACCAGGTATCTTTTTGCTTGATTTAACCTGGACTTTCTCAACTTCTTAGCACATTCAGGGGTCGTGCTTTCAGTGGAAGAGGTAGAAGCAGGGCTGAAGGGCTTGAAGGTGGACCAGCAAGTGAAGAATTCAACTCCCTTCATGGCAGAACACCTAGAAGAGACCTTGAATGCTGTAACCAACAATCGACAACTCAAGAAAGATGGAGACATGACTGCATTCAACAAGCTAGTGAGCACAATGAAGGCAAGTGGGACTTTGCCTTCTCAGCCCAAAGTCAGCGTAAGTATCTGGCACATATCCTACCCTTTTCTCCCTTTCTTTTTTCTACCACAATAAATGGATTTTTAAAATAGTATTCTGAGTTAGTTGAAAATTCTTTGTTGTTGTTGTTGATCCACTGACAGCTTGCAGGAAATTCTTTAGTAGTCATTTGGTTCTTGATGCTTTTGTGTGTTCCTTAATCATATATTATTACTAGAAAAAGCAGGCTTGTGGTTAACTTATATGTATTGTGGGTGACAGTATAAAGATTAAAAGATTCAGTCTTATATAATGCCTTTATAACTTTAAGTCACTGCTAAAATGAGGTATAAAACTATCTTTTCAGATATCTCCAGAGAAAATTTTGCTATTCAGTTACTTAAGTTCATATACTTTACCATATTTGTATAGTAAAATTTTTATTTTCACATCTTCTAATTAGTCCCAGATACGAGGGATTACCTGCTTTCTTGCAGTCATACAAATCATTTGTAAAGTATCTAAGATGGGGCTGGACACAGTGGCTCACATCTGTTATCCCAGCACTTTGGGAGGCTGAGGCAGGTGGATCACTTGAGGTCAAGAGTTTGAGACAAGTCTGGTCAATGTGGTGAAACCCTATTTCTGCCAAAAATACAAAAATTAGTTGGGTGTGGGAGGAGGTGCCTATAGTCCCTGCTGCTTGGGAGGCCAAGGCAGGAGAATCACTTGAACCCAGGGGATGGAAATTGCAGTGAGTGGAGATCGTGCCACTGCATTCTAGCCTGGGCAACAGGCTAGAGTGAGGCTCCTCTCAAAAAAAAAAAAAAAGAAGGGGGGGAGTCTAAGATGGGTTTGTCAAGATAATTACATTCTGTCAATTTACTAATGGAAAAGGCTGTGGCTCCAAATTAAACAACACTTGTAGGCATGAAGTTAGGTTATAAGGTGACATAACTGCATGTCTGTCACCTTGTAAATGCAGGTGTTTATAATGTACTGGTCTTTGTCCTAACAATTTTTAGAGGGTAGTTCTCACCCATAGCCCATGTGTTAATATCACTATCTCTTGATACAAACTGACAGGGAAGCAGGGTAGATATGAATAATAAAAACATAAACATGGACTTATTCTAGCTGCTAAGTTAAAGGAAATTTACCAAATTGAGTGTTCCCCCACTTTTTTTTTTTTTCCTTCCTGTTCCCTGCTTGCCTGGGAACTTAGCAGTTAGCCAAGATGCAAATAGCAATAGCTGTTTGATTCATTGTCTTTTTTTTTTTTTTTGAGGCGGAGTCTTGCTCTGTTGCCAGGTTTGGAACACAGTGGCCCAGTCTCGGCTCACTACAACCTCCACCTCCTGGGTTCAAGCGATTCTTCCACCTCAGCCTCCCAAGTAGCTGGGACTACAGGTGCATGCCAAACACCTGGCTACGTTTTGTATTTTTAGTAGAGATGGAGTTTCACCATGTCGGGCAGGATGGTCTCGATACATCTTGACCTCGTGATCTACCCGCTTCGGCCTCTCAGAGTACTGGGATTATAGGCGTGAGCCACCACGCCCGGCCTCATTACGTCTTATACCAAGAGAAAGCAACTGACTTTTAGCATTCCTTATTTGACCAATAGTGATAAGAGATTTTGACGTACTCAGTCAGGGGTGCCATTATTCCTTAGTGCCAGGACTGACCTTCTACCCTTGAAAAGAGGCAGAGACGCCTCAGACAGGTAGACTGACTTCTTTGTGTCTGACCACACCATGCCAGTTGCAGGAGAATGTTCCCGTAAATTGTTGCAGGGTTTTTTTGTTTTTTTTTTGAGACGGAGTTTTGCTTTTGTGCCCAGACTGGAGTGCAGTGGTGCAATCTGAGCTCATTGCAACCTCTGCTTCCTGGATTCAAGCAATTCAAGTGATCCTCCTGCCTCCCATCACCTCACCCGGCTAATTTTTATATTTTTAGTAGAGACGGGGTTTCGTCATGTTGCCCAGGCTGGTCTCAAACTCAGCCTCAGGTGATCTGCCTGCCTTACCCTCCCAAAGTACAGGGATTAGAGGCATGAGCCACCGCACCCAGCCTTGAGTTATTTTTATTACAAAGAGTTATTAGATACAAATGCTTTCAAATGAAGACCAGATTGAAAGATGATAGACTATCTTATTTTACTTTGTTTGCTTTGTGTCTTGGTAATTGGGTGCTGACTGCAATAGTGTGGTTCATATCTTGTAATTAGCTTCTTTCTTTTGGTGTGAGCAACTAAAAATATGGGAAGCAGGGGATTCAGCAGTTTACCTGATGGTTTTTCACATTTTTTTTTATTATTATAAGATGGGGTTTCACCCTGATGACCAGGCTGGTCTTGAACTCCTGACCTCAGGTGATCCACCCACTTTGGCCTTCCAAAGTGCTAGGATTACAGGTGTGAGCCACCACGCCCGGCCCATTTTTCCATATTTTATTGCAGATATGATTCTAGGATTTCATATTAACACAATTTACTCTGAGTTGTAAGGGCAGTTGGTTTGATGTTGGGGTTTTAGTACTCTGAAGTATATCTGGTTTTAGCTGAGCAAAGGAGCCTCAAACACCTGTCAAAGGGGGGAATGGATGACATTATTCAAGTGGCTAGGAAAAGGCTCAGACAAACTCTGCTAACAGGAAAGAATGCAACAAGAAAAGTAATGGAATAAGAATAGCAGCTGTTATCTTAAAATATTGCTCAATTTGCATGTTGTTAAGTCATGGTTTACTTTTTGAATTCAGTGTCTTTAATTACTACTGTGTGTGTTTTATATACTATTTCTAATCTGCCTCCATCCATTTAGATTCAGTCATATTGGTTCATCCAAAAATAATACATGTTGGTTCAGTCTAAATTGTTTTAAATTATAGATTCCATCCTCCAAATATAATAAGCCATGTGGTATAAAGTTGTCTATTTGTTTTTGTTAGATGGAAATGACTCTTAAAGAGATAACTTATGAAATCATCTGCCTTTAGTCCCAATTCCAAAACTGACAATAAAATACTTGGGTATCCTTGGGCTATTTGTCATGCCTACATGCTGCTTTGGACCTTGAGAGTTCCATCTAGTGGAAGGGAAACTACACCAGAGACAGCACTTAATGTAGAGCTAAATGGGCATAGTGATGTCCTGAAGTGCAGGAGGGGACTCCAGGTTGGATGCACAAAATGTAACCGCTGGCCAGGCCTGGTGGTATACACCTGTAGTTCCAGCTGCTTGGGAGGCCAAGGTGGGAGGGTTGCTTGAACCCAGGAGTTCAGGGCCAGCCTGGGAAACATAGACCTGTCTCAAAAAAAAAAAAAAAAAAAAAGGAACCACTACTGCTTTAATAGTGGAGGATTTGAATTTTTCCCTGTATGTGACACCCATTTTGGAATAGGTTGTTTAAAAAATATATAGCTTTAATTTCCTGAAATATGAAACTCTGAAATATAACTGTTTTCACTAAACCTGCATGTTGTTTGCTAGTATTTTAAAACTATATGTGTAGGCTGAGTATGGAGGATCATGCCTATAATCCCAGCACTTTGGGAGGCCAGTGCGGGAGGACTCCTTGAGCCCAGGAGTTCAAGTCCAGCCTGGGCAACATGGTGAAACCCCAACTCTACAAAAAATATGAAAATTAGTTGGGTGTGGTGGCACACATCTGTAGTCCCTCCCAGCTATTCAGGAGGCTGAGATGAGAGGATCACTTGGGCCTAAGAGGTCAAAGCTGCAGCAAGCCATGATTGCACCACTGTACTCCAGCCTGGGCAACGGAATAAGACCCTGTCTCAAAATGTGTGTGTGTGTGTCCAGTAAATCTTGTTAAAGATAATGGGTAGCAAGAGTTGTCTCAAGTAAGTGTTCCCCAATTTCACCATTTTCCCCCCTTCTTTTGGTCAGTGTTAAAAACAGGGAAATGGACTAGGGTTAGCATAGTGACAATCTCTGAGTGGACTTTGCATGTACATGTGAACAGTCTTTCGATCCCCAGATCTTTGGGACCTGTGTGTTGAGAGCAGAACAAGTTGGTCTAAGTTTTCTGTGACTTGAGCATCATTCTGCTGTTATCAGCTCCCTAGGAGGAGTATTTTATGCTTTCTTGTGGTCCTCAGTCAATCCGTAAGTTAAGTGAGTTAAGAAAGTTTTAAAACCAGTTTTCCTTTGACTTTTTTAGCGAAACCTTGAAAGCCATTTGATGTCCCCTGCTGAGATTCCAGGCCAGCCTGTCCCTAAGAACATTCTGCAGGTACTTCACAATCTTATTGAAGTCTTGAACAGTAGTCTCCTCAACTGGTTTTGTCTAGTGGTCCAGCTTTGGGCCTTAGAAAATGATCTATGTTGCCTGGCAGTGAGAGCTGTGATCTTGTTGGCTAACATACTTTGGTGTTGGTGTTAATCTCAATGGGCAGGAGATAAGGGGTGGCTAAAAAAGTTGACACACTAAGCCTTGACTTCTAGTTTGCTTTGCGGTTTCTGTGGAACTTAAAAGTATCTAGCTGGGCATAGGGGCTCAAGGCTATAATCCTAATACTTTGGGAAGCTGAGGTGGGTGGATCACCTGAGGTCAGGAGACCAGCCTGGCCAACATAGTGAAACCCTGACCCTACTAAAAATATAAAAATTAGCCGGGTGTGGTGGCACAGGCCTGTAAACCCAGCTCCTTAGGAGGATGAGGAATGTGAATCACTTGAACCCAGGAGGTGGAGGTTGTAGTGAGCTGAGATCACACCATTGCACTCCAGCCTGGGTGATGGAGTGAGACTCTTTCTCAAAAAGAAAAAAAAAAAAGTAACCTCTGTTTGTAGCACTAACGTAGAGCAAATGTTGCTAGCTGAACATTCAGAGAAATGTGTTGCATGTACATATGCCAAGTCTTTCAGTTGAGCATGAGGGAGATTCATCTTGTGGCTCTCAAAAGTTAATCCATAACTCACAGCCTCTGAGTAGAAGGAAGAACTAAGTTTGTTCACAGGGATTTGGCTTTTCTGCCTTTAGGAACTTCTGGGTCAACCAGTTCAGAGACCTGCTTCTTCCAATCTTCTGAGTGGCCTTATGGGGAGCTTGGAGCCTACAACATCTTTACTGGGCCAAAGAGCACCCTCTCCTCCCTTGTCACAGGTGTTTCAAACTCGAGCAGCCTCAGCAGACTACCTTCGCCCAAGAATACCATCACCAATTGGTAAGTATGCTTATTTGCCAAAAATAAATAGGAATTTTATGGTGAGATGTGGTGGCTCACATCTGTAATTCCAGCACTTTGGGAGGTTTAGGTGGGCAGATCACCTGAGGTCAGATGTTTGAGACCAGCCTGGCCAACATGGTGAAACCCCATCTCTACTCAAAATGCAAAAAATAGCCAGGCATGATGGTGCATGCCTGTAATCCCAGCTACTCGGAAGGCTGAGACAAGCAAGGAGAATTGCTTGAATCCGAGAGATGGTGGTTGCAGTGAACCAAGATCACACCACTGCACTCCAGCCTGGGCAACAACAGAAAAAGACTCTGTCTCAAAAAAATATATATATATATGTGTGTATATGTAACACACACACACACACACACACACACACACACACACACATATACACTTTCAGCTTTCGGGGGATGGGGAGCAAACATGGAAGATATCAGTTGTCCTTCTAGGGGAATATGTTCATGTTATAGATATTTTTTTCTTAAATCTTTTATCCAGCTCTTTAGTCTTATTCCTTACTTTGGGAACTTAATCCAAAAAAAAGTTAATTCGGCTTCTTAAGTTTTTCTTTGATACAGTCGGTGTAGTGGTTCCCTATGAAACTATTGAGTTTGATAGACAATCTGCTGTTAAGTCTTATGGCTAATTCAGAATGTGACTGAAAGAAAAGTTCCAGAAAGTGTCTTGGCAAAATATTTGCATGGAATGTCGTAGTGTTCCTGCCATCCTGAACCACTTTAGGCTGCTGGCCTGTCTGGCTCCTGCCAAACAAACCTCGAGAGGCATTTTTTGAAATCTTCTGTCCACAGTCAAACAGATAGAATGGAGAGAATGTGTACTCTCAGAGCAATGGTGTCTGCTTTAGTACCAGCTGTCTGAGTGATAACGGGACAAACTGCTGGCTAGAAAAGCTCTTCTTTCACAGCTAGAGGTCTTGGCTTTAAAAGGAACAAGGCTGATGGCTTAGTTGAGAAGGTAGGTACACCAGCAGTTCAGGCAGTGATCTGGTTAAGGTCCACATAGCCCATTGTCAGGGTACAGAGGGAGGACATCTGTCAGCCCAAGAAATCAGTGCTTTCCAAGAGATGGTGTTCAGCAAGAAGTGGCATGCATTAATGAAAATGACTCCCTGATGCACACATACCATCTTACAGTACTGATACTGTAACTTTCCTGACAGGTTTCACAACAGGACCACAGCAGCTACTCGGAGATCCATTCCAAGGCATGCGCAAACCCATGAGCCCCATCACGGCCCAGGTCAGGCTGAGCTCTTTCTGAAGCTCAATCTCTTGCTTGCCCTTCACCCTGTTGGTAGATGTGGGATAGAGAACAGAATTACTGTGATTCTTAGAAATGGTTTTGAGGCCAGGCGTGTCTGCTCATGCCTGTAATCCCAACACTTTGGGAGGCCAAGGCAGGAGGATCACTTGAGCCCAAAGTAAATTTGAAAAATGAGCCAGGTATGGTGGCATGCATCTTTAGTCCCATTGACACAGGAGGCTGAGGCAGGAGGATCATTTGAGCCTAAGAGTTTGAGACTACAGTGAGCTATGATGGTGTCATTGTACTCCAGCCTGGGTGGCAGAGTGAGACACTGTCTCTAAAACAAAGAAATGGTTTTGATCTGTATTTCAAGCTCAGTGAAGGTTAGACAATTTGCTAAATAATTCAAGTAATACTTAAATTGTTAAAATCTAATTCAGTGCGATGGTAGCACAATTTACTCAGTTTGTAGTACCTTTCTCAGCTTCTGCTTAACCTACCTAAGAGTGAAGGAGAGACCTTTGAAGAAACTGTGCTGTGTCCTCACTCTTCTCCTGACCCTCCCCTCTCACTTCTTTTCAGCAGATGAGCCAGCTGGAGATACAACAGGCAGCTTTAGAGGGGTTGGCCTTGCCACATGATCTGGCTGTACAGGCAGCAAACTTCTATCAACCTGGTTTTGGCAAACCACAGGTGGACAGAACCAGAGATGGATTCAGAAACAGGTAAATTACTAATCCTACTCATGGAGATTTACAGATACAGTTTTCCTGAAATTAACAAATTACTTATCTGCAGTATAATTCTGTTGCACATACTGTGGTATGTTGTTCAGTATGTGGTAGAAATTCCATCCCAATCCTAATTAATAGAAGAAATAGATTAAATAGAGGAAATATGATTAAATGCTACTGCAAGGGCATAGCGTTTTCATTCTATATGGTTTTATTTCTGTTCTTGATTTACAAATTACTTTTTTTCTTTGAGTTTGCTAATTAGCCATTTGGAAGGGATTTCGCTTGCCTAATTTACCTCAAGATTGTTATGAGTAAATATATTTTAAAATCTTAGGATGTTTCTACCAGTTAATGCATTTTTACAAATGGAACTAGCATAGCTCCTTATTCCTTTCCCCACAGACGAGATGTTCTTATCAAACTCCCTTGATGCAGGTTTGCTACATCAACAGTGTTTTGGCCAGAGCTGATGGGTTTGTTGATCAGAGTTGTTAACAAATAGATGACCGAGCTTGCTCTCCTCTTTTTTTAGTTGCAACAAGTGGTAAAATGAAATTATAAGTTGGGGAGAAAAGGGAAAGCACTGGCAATATTGTTTTATCGTAAAATAAAACAGATAAAGAAAACTATATAAAACAAATGTGTAGCTTATTATAAGGCAAACTTCCTTGTTAACCTCTCAGAGGCCCTCCATGCACCCTGTGCCAATAATACCCCTTTCTCCTCAGAACTGTCCACTGTCCAGCCTTTGAAAGTAATCACTACCTTAATTATTTTTGAGTTTTATTACCAAAATACACATCCCTCAACACTACAGTTTAGTCCACCCTTAAAATACTTGGTAATTAATGTTTTGATGTGATTCTTAAAGTTACTACCGTAGTGCCTCAGTGTTTTGCTTCCCCTGGTTTTACCTGTTAATCGTTTCAGAAGACACTGAGACCAGGAGATACCCTTACACAAACATATCCTATTTATAGCACACCTCAACTGTAACAGAGAGCTCCAGACTCATCTGCTGAACCCCTCTCACGTGCTTTCTCTCTATAGCATAATGTAGTTACCTAGTATTCACTGATGGTGATTTGTGACTTTCAGAGTACTTTTAACATCGGGTGTTTGTTTGTTGTTGTTTGAAGACAGTCTCTCGCTCTGTTGCCCAGGCTGGAGTGCAGTGGCACAATCTTGGCTCACTGCAGCCTCCTTCTCCTGGGTTCAAGTGATTCTCATGCCTCAGCCTTCCAAGTAGCTAGGACTACAGGATTGTGCTACCATACTCCTAATTTTTTAGATTTTTAGTAGAGATAGGGTTTCGCTATGTTGGCCAGACTAGTTTTGAATTCCTGGCCTCAAGTGCTTTACCTGCTTTGATCCCCAAAGTGCTGGGATTACAGGCATGTGCTACCACACCTGGCCCAGAATTTTATATGATGTTAACATCAACCCTGTGAGGTAGATGAGGGGGTACATAACTGCATTTTACGGATACAGAAAACTCAGGTTTTTAAAACGTGGCTTACTCAAAACTAACAAGTAGATGCAAGTCAGTGTCAGTCTACCCTTCATGTTTTGGATCAATGTCAGCCTCTCAGTTTCTCCCTGTGTATAGTTGTGTCCCTCAAACAAACATGCCTTTCCCCTTACCTTGCTTGTTTTAATTGTATCATCACTGTCTAGCATGCTATTTGTTTTTTGTCTCCCTGCCCGTAGTAACCCCACTCCATCCTGCAGCCCCAAGAATGTAACCTCTATGAGGCCAGAGATTTTTTTTCTTTTGTTCACTGCTGTATCCCAAGAACCTGGAACAATGTCTGTAGCAGGTGCTTAAATATGTTTACTAAAATGAAAGGTCATGTGGTACCCCCAAGTTTGGGGTTCATCATTTAGTCACTCAGAACAGTACTGATCTGTCTGCCCATGTTGTCATTCTCACAGTCACAGTATGGCAGCAGTGGGGTACTAACTAGAAAGAAGCCATGAATTTCGGTTTTCCATCTCTCTGTGATTCAGATCAAGTCAATGACTATATTTGGGTCTTGACCTTTGAGGCCTGAGATCAATCTTCTGTAGACCAAGAGTAGTCCTAAAATAGCTGAAACTTTTGGTTCTATATTTGATTTGAACGAGTGTCATACAGAGCATCAGTTCTATGCCAGGCACTGTGCTAATTATTGCTGCTCCCTGCCCAGTGAAGCACAGCCAACCCAAGAGTGAAGGCCCTCCCTAGTGTACCTCACTGGTGTAGTCTACAGTAAACTATACACCAGCTCTGGATAACCCTACAACTCCCAAGCCCCTCCCAAGTTCTTGTACCTGTTCTGCCTGAACTGTTGTTCTCCATCTTCAGCTTTCTGTTGATCACACCCAGTTTAATGCAGTTTCTTCCCCAAGCAGCATCCCTGCAGTGCCCTGTCACTCCTTCTAACCCCTCCATTTTCCCATTGTACTTTATTGGTACCTAATATCTACATGCCTTGGTTTGCTCTATGTGACTGTCTTCCCCCACTAGACTGAGAGCTCTTACAAGACTGGACCATGTTTCATTTTGCTTTTGTCTTCCCTCAGACCTTAGCATGTGCTTCTGCATATGTTGGGCCTAAATGCTTGGGAAATTGAATTGGATAAGGGAAAGGGGATGTTAAAATTCCTAGGCTGGTCTTGAGTATTATATAGGTTTAGCAGATTTGAAGTTAAGCACACTGGGGTTCATGCTGATAATTGGTTTGTTCACAGGCAACAGCGAGTGACCAAGTCACCAGCACCAGTGCATCGAGGGAATTCCTCTTCCCCCGCCCCTGCTGCCTCCATCACAAGCATGGTCAGTGACCTTCAGTGACTATGAAGGACTTTAAGGCTTCTTCTTGTTGGATTCTACATGTGTTGTACCACTGTGTGCCCTAAATGTCCTTGAGTTCCTTCCAAAGGAATAACTGACCTAGTAGCCTTTCATACCTATTAGGTCTTTCCCTTTTAGGACACGGTCTAAGTTTTAGGATTTTAGTGAAGCCCTTATATTGGGGAAAATACATTCCAGCAGAGATGATTATGGGCCAGGGCACACGAGGTTATATAGTACGTTCAAAGAAATGAAACTGGTGTGGGGAGACAGGAAATGAAGTGGACGGGGTGGCTGGGTCAGACAGTGGGGAGTCCAGTGAAACTTGCAGTGGGGGAGTTCAGTAATATGAACTAAGGCTGAAACAGAGGGGTTTGCTTCTATACAGTGACAAATCTAGTTTTATAACTATCATTACTTTTAAAAATGTTTCATTTGGCCAGGCTCAATGGCTCACGCCTATATTCCCAGCACTTTGGGAGGCTGAGGCAGGCAGATCACAAGGTCAGGAGTTTGAGATCAGCCTGGCCAATGTGGTGAAACCCCATCTCTACTAAAAATACAAAAATTAGCTGGCCATGGTGGCAGGCACCTGTAGTCCCAGCTACCTGGGATGCTGAGGCAGGAGAATCATTTGAACCCAGAACCCAGGAGGCAGGGGTTGCAGTGAGTTCAGATCAAGCCAGTGAACTCCAGCCTACGTGACAGAACAAGAATTTGTCTAAAAAAAAAAAAGTTTCATTCTAGCTGGATGTGGTGGCTCACACCTATAATCCCAGGCCTTTTGAGAGGCCAAGGTAGGTGGATTGCTTGAGTTCAGGAGTTCTAGACCAGACTGAGCAACGTAGTGAAATCCTGTCTAATACAAAAATTAGTAATACAAAAAAATTGCAGTCGGGCATGGTAGTGCACATCTGTGGTCTGAGCTATACGCTGGAGGCTGAAGTGGGAGATCATTTTGAGTCCAGAAGGTGGAGTTTGCAGTGAGCCAAGATCATACCACTGCACTCCCTAGTTAGTCCCTGTCTTAAAAAAAAAAGAAGAAAAAAAAAAAGGTTCATTCCCCACAGATATTTATCAACTATTCAGAGCTGATAAGAGAAGGAAAAAAAACTTTGCTGTGTGCTTCAGAACCCCATGTGGGTCTTTGCACCAGTCACCTTGAAGGCAGCAGGATCTGGAAGGAGCTTTTCTGTTCATAAATCACGTCTTGTCTCCTGCCATCAAAGATGTAGGGTTGTTTGCCTAGAAAAGGGACATGGATAATAAAATCATCAAAGTAGAAATAGTGAAGAGATAAGAAATCACTCAAGTGATTAATCGTGATGGCTAAGGAGACTGTTGAGGTAATTAACTTTTCTGGTAGCCAAGTTAAGAAGGGAAATATTAGGAGTACGGAGTAATTTTGGTTCTGAGGTTGTCTTTAAAATGTCCTTCACAGAAGAAAGTTGCTCCAAGGTATATTTCTGGCCATGTTCTTTCCCTCTTTTCAGCCTAATCCCAGGCTGGGGAAATGTGTAAAGCAGAGGCTGCATAGGCATATTCCTAGTATCACAGAGTTGTGAGTAAGGGATGATGTGCTTGGGACACTGCCATTCTGTTTTTCCTCCAGCAGCTACAGAACAGAATACTAGAGCTGGCCTATGCTACCGGTGTGGGGACTCTTTGTTGAATAGCTTGACCAGTTAATCCTGGCTTAGTATTAGAGAAAGGCACTTAGAGAATGTGCTAATGCCAGTTGTTTTTCTCTGCAGCTTTCTCCTTCCTTTACCCCTACCTCAGTGATTCGTAAGATGTACGAGAGCAAAGAGAAGAGCAAGGAGGAGCCAGCATCTGGAAAAGCAGCTCTTGGTGACAGTAAAGAGGATACTCAGAAGTCTAGTGAAGGTACTGCAGAGCTGTTAAGGGCACTGCTCAAGAAAGTATGTGATGGAGAGAACATGGGCCTGAGTGCTGTCCAACCTGACATTCTATGCAAAGCCCTGGGCAAGCCCCTAACTTCTCTGGACCATGGTTCTGTGTTAGTGAGGTTCTGTGTGACAGTGAGAAGAACTGGGCCAGCCCACAGTTGCTCGGTTGCTTGAAATTCTGACCAGTCTGAGTGCTGCTACCAGACCGGTAGTAGAATGAGCGTTAGTTTAGAATCCTTACTTAGGCTTCAAAGTTGAATAATTAGTATACTTACTTGGTAAATTAATATAATTCAGCTAGTTTTACTTCTGAAATCCAGCCTCTGGAGACTTAAGTGTCCAATATAGAAAATATGTGAGAAGATTTTTAGGAATTGCACAGTAGGGATTGTGAAGGACGTGGTAACACAGATTCTAAATTAGGGTTTACACAGGTGTAGAGTATAGATCTGAGAGATTTTTGCCTGTGTTTGAGAAGGCTTGGGTGGTTGGTGGGGAGGAACTCCTGTTGATACTATTAAGACAGTTTGGGTTCTTTGACCAGACTCTAATTGCCATTTAAATAATCTAGGCCACAGCCATTTGTGCAGAGAAGGGGATCCAACAATTTATCTTTGGTCCTGTTTAATGAGGCAAATGATGGTTCCTACCATGTAATCCTCTAACCTTGTTAAGGGTATCAGATAAGAATTGTGACCTTAAGAAATAATTTACTAGACGAGTGGGAGGCCAAAAGTGTATGGGAGAGGTTTACCAAAATACTTTTTGTTTGGATCCTCATAGAGAACCTCCTGTCATCCAGCTCTCTACCCAGTGCTGATCGAGGCTCTTCTCCCACTACAAATCCGAAACTATCAGCGTTACAGAGGTCTTCGTGTTCCACCCCACTGTCCCAGACCAACCGTTACACCAAAGAACAAGATTATCGACCTAAAGCAGCTGGGAGAAAAACACCCACCTTGGCATCCCCAGTTCCTGCAACACCCTTTCTCCGCCCTGTCCACCAAGTTCCCCTTGTCCCCCACGTCCCTATGGTTCGGCCTGCTCACCAGCTTCACCCAGGATTGGTACAGAGAATGCTGGCACAGGGAGTACATCCACAGCATCTTCCGAATTTGCTCCAAGCTGGTGAGTTTCCAACCTGACTTGGGTGTCAGTTTATGGACCTACTAGGACAATTGTTGGCACTGATGAAGTGCTGTATAATGTGGGAAATTTCCCTGGATTCTCCCATCCAACTGGTAGGCAGAAGCTCCAATCCAGTCAATCCCCCCTAGTCTTTTAAAAGATTAGGAACCTAGCTTGAGGGTTCTTTTTTATTTATTTTCTTTTATTTTTGTAGAGACGTAGTCTCAACTCTCTCGCCCAGGCTGGAGTGCAGTGGCTCACGGCAACCTCTTGTCTCCTGGGTTCAAGCAATTCTCCTGCCTCAGCCTCCCGAGTAGCTGGGACTACAGGCATATGCCGCCATGCCCTACTAATTTGTTTTGTATTTTAGTAGAGACGGAGTTTCACCATATTGGCCAGGCAGGTCTCAAACTGCTGAGCTCAGTCAGTCCACCTGTCTTGGCCTCCCAAAGTGCTAGAATTATAGGCGTGAGCCAGAAGATTCTTTTTTTTGAATCAGAGTCTTGCTCTGTCACCCAGGCTGGAGTGCAATGGTGCAATCTCAATTCACTGCAACCTCTGCCTCTTGGGTTCAAGCAGTTCTCTCCTGCCTCAGCCTCCTGAGTAGCTGGGATTACAGGCGCCTGCCACCATGCCCAGCTAATTTTTGTATTTTTAGTAGAGATGGGGTTTCACCATGTTGGCCAGGCTCTTCTTGAACTCCTGACCTTGTGATCTGCCTGCCTCGGCCTCCCAAAGTGCTGGAATTACAGGCGTGAGCCACCTCACCCAGCCATTCATTCTTAATATAACTTCCAGATCAGCAAAACTGTACAGTGAAACTGGAAAACTTCCAGGTAACATTAAGACTACTCAGCAGCATGCCTTTTCTGCTCAACAGGCGTGCTTCCTCCTGGGATGGACTTGACTCATTTACAGGGAATATCTGGCCCTATCCTGGGTCAGCCCTTTTACCCTTTACCTGCTGCTAGTCACCCTCTCTTAAACCCTCGTCCTGGAACACCTCTGCATCTGGCAATGATGCAACAGCAGCTACAGCGCTCAGGTAGGTTCAGGAATGTGACAGGTGAGTTTGGGATGGACTTAAAGAATCTTGAAGCTTTTAGAAATAGTTTCCAGTGGAGATGAATTAACATTGATATTTTCATTCATTAACTTGTTCTAAGTTTGGGGCAAGGGTATAACCAGAGAATAAGATGAAGTAAATTGACCTCAATGCAATTTGGGATTACTGTTCCTGCAGTCAGTGGGGACGAGCCAAGTGTGCTTTGGCTTTCTTTGTCCTTTGTGTCTTAGGAGACAGGGCTGAGAATCCTTCCAACAGAGGTTCAGCATCGGGCTTGCCCAGGGCATATGCCCTCTCACCAGTTAATGTTCCTGCTTCTGTGATGTGGTTACTTGCCATAGGAAGTGGCGGTCATGTCATCCAGGATGAGTTTTCAATACTGGTAGCTGAATAGCTCAGCTTTCCATGGTACTGTTTTCTGGCATCACTGGCATTTTACAAAGGAGTTTTCTCAAGAAGCCCTAGAAAAAATCCTCTAGTAAAGACTCTGTTTGGATAGGGTTTGAATGAAGCAGGGTCTAATAAACTTCTTTCCTTTTCATGCTGTGAATGATAACCCTTCTTATCTCCACAGTTTTGCATCCTCCAGGCTCTGGTTCCCAGGCAGCAGCTGTCAGTGTTCAAACAGCCCCTCAGAATGTGCCCAGCCGGTCAGGCCTGCCCCACATGCACTCCCAGCTGGAGCATCGCCCCAGCCAGAGGAGCAGCTCCCCCGTGGGACTCGCCAAATGGTTTGGCTCAGATGTGCTACAGCAACCCCTGCCCTCCATGCCCACCAAAGTTATCAGTGTAGATGAATTGGAATACCGACAGTGAGCAGGGCAGGCAGACTCAACTAAGCCCAGACTTGTGGTGGCACCCTGGGCAGGACTCTGCTTCCTCATCTTGGGTTGGTTTATGGGCTTTTACTTTGGAGCACTCTGTGTGAAGCTGTTTGGGGGAACCCATGCACCTGGTGTGATCCGCATTATGATTGATGGAAGGATCTTAACCAGTCCAGTGGATTGTACATTGTCTAAATACAGGATTCACAATGTTGTCAATCCTGGAAATGGTCTTTCTTTTTTGTAAGATATGTGAATGAAGTGTTGGTGTCCTCACCAAGAGGTGGCACCTAAGGGTTCTGAGGAAATAAATGTATAGACCCTTATGTACAGACCTGTGTATAAACAACTTTTGTATATACATATAGCTTTTTTGAACTTATACAGCTGTACATAAAAGTAGCTGATATTAGTTAAGCCTGTGTCAACAGTTTGGATTTTTTTCACTTGTACATTTGGGATTTTCTTTTGGTTGATTAAAATTGCATATGCTAAGTGTGTGTATGAAGTAAACTGGCATTGTTGTGTTTATTTCCTCTCTGAAACCCTTCCTAATTTTGTTTCTTTGTTTGGAGACAGGGTCTCACTCTGTGTTGCCCAGGCTAGAGTACAGTGGTGCAATCACCGCTCACTGCCGCCTCAACCTCCTAGGCTCAAGCTATTCTCTTATCTTACCTCAGCCTTACTAGTGGATGGAACTATAGGCCACACCACTAACTTTTTCCTTATTTTTTGTAGAGGCTGGATCTCACTATGTAGCCCAGGCTGGCCTTCTTAACTTCTAACCAGCTGAGCTAGGCTCAGTATGTTCCTTGAGGGCAGTGATCTGAAGTTTAAATTTTTCTTTAAAACCTATGGAAACTGACCAGGGCACAGTGGCTCACTCCTGTAATCCCAGCACTTTGGGAGGCCGAGGTGGGCGGATCACAAGGTCAAGAGATCGAGACCATCCTGGCCAACATGGTGAAACCCCATCTCTACTAAAAAAAAAAATACAAAAGTTAGCTGGGCATGGTGGTATGTGCCTGTAGTCCCAGCTACTCTGGAGGCTGAGGCAGGAGAATTGCTTGAACCTGGGAGGCGGAGGTTGTAGTGAGCCAAGATCACACCACTGCACTCCAAACTGGCACCTGGTGACAGAGCGAGACTGTCTTAAAAAAAAAAAAAAAAAAAAAAAAAAAAAAACCCTATGAGAACTGAACTCTATCTTGATTTAGGAGGAAGAAGCAATGATCTTTTTCTTGAACCTTAAAGACCCTAATGGGTCAGTTTAGACTGGACTGACCCTCTAAGTAGGTAGCCTATGGCTAACACCAGGATATCTATAGTGTAATTTCCAAGATTAAACCAACCTAGTGAAAACAATTTATTAGGGAATCACCTATTACATATGGTAGTTTCTCTGTAACAAATCATGTTTACTGGGGCATCCTGTTTCTGTAAGCTCAGAGGTCTGATTCAACCCACTGGAATCTAAGAATTTCCCTTAAGACTCATGTATTAATTGACCTCTTGTGTTCTTTATCACATTCCTTAGCTCACAATTGTTTGATTATCCACCTTAACTATTAGTATATACACAGCATTGGAGGATAAAGATTTTATAGAATACAGTAGGGTCCAGCGTCCCCTTTACTAACTGGAAGTTTTTCAGTCCTGCTATGAGGTGATGATACTTAATTTTCTATGCTACTCAAGTTAGTTTACCAGAGTTCTAGGTATTTGTCCATTTAGGACCATAAAAGCTTTTGACTCCATGCTAAAGGGTCAAATAAGGAGATGAAGGTCAAGGTGGTTGGATTTTTTTACTACAAGCATAGTAGAGTCTTGAGCAGCCCGAGTCTTGAGTGCTAGGGGTATTGATTATAAGCCTGGAACTGCCTATCCTGCCCTGTACTTGCAGGAATACAAGAAAGCAGGTCATCTTTCAACAAAACCTGGCTTTATGGATTATGCGTGAGGTCAGTCTCTTCCTGGTACTTTCAACCTCATTAGTATTCACTTCATATGATTCCTCAGCTTCAGAAATAGACCCTATAGACACTATGTTTAGAATTTTTGGCAAATCCTTTCTGGTTTCCACAGGTGAAAACTGGAAAGCAGTCCCAAGTGTCAATGGCAGAACACAGATGCCTGAATCCAGTTCCATCTTTCCCGTGTATCTTCCACTTACCTGCCCCCTTCATGTTGAACCAACGTTAATAGGTGCAAGGTAAGGAGGACTGGATTAAACCTGCTAGTAAAGGCTTCCTTTTTAGGCTAGAAGCTAGTAGGATGGAAACAAACAGGTACTATGCAAAGAGCACAGCCATTAGCTGGTGATTGGCAAAATGGAGTCAGAAGGAAATAAGGGAGTGTTGCTGAGAGTATCAGCAGAAGCTGACATTCAGGTTTTAGCAAAAGTATTTTGGTAAACACAAGGACTAGAGGAAGCAGGGGTGGGGGGTGGAGGCACAAGAGACGTTAATGCAGTCTTCAAGGGGCTAAGAACTTGATATAGGATAAGGGCAGTTTGGAAAAACTTTTGATGTCTTGCAGGCACAAGATGAGTTCAGAAGTAATCAGTGCTAGAAGGTTGTGCAAAATAAAAGTTAAGAGACACTAAGGATATAGAAGGCATCCTGAAAGTAAAACAGCTGAGGGCCACAAAGCATATCATGGAATATCTGTTAAGCAGGGGAGGTCAGGTAGGAGAGGAAAGAATATTCTCTCCCAAAAGAAACAGTTAAATAGTCTTTGGGAGGTCGGTGGTAAAAAGAGGTGGGAATGAAGTGAACGGAGTACAGCTAGGCCTTCCCCTAGGAGGTAGCTACTGTTTTTGTTGTTTTTGAGACAGAGTCTCACTCTGTTGTGCCCACGCTGGAGTGCAGTGGCACAATCTCTGCTCACTGCAACCTCTGCCTCCAGGGTTCAAGTGATTCTCCTGTCTCAGCCTCCAAAGTAGCTGGGATTACAGGTGCCTGCCACCGTGCCCAGCTAATTTTTTAATTTTAATAGAGATGAGGTTTCACCATATTGGCCAGGCTGGTCTTGAACTCTCAACCTCAGGTTGTCCACCCACCTCGGCCTCCCAAAGTGCTGGGATTACAGGCATGAGCCATGGTGCCCAACCTGCTTCTGAGTGTCTCAGAAGCCAGACTCTATTAAGGATGGGAAGCATGAGGTCCACTGGCCCTTCTTTGTGAACTATGAACATAAACACAAACCAAGAATGAGGATAACTTATAGAGATAAACTCTGGTAACTTACAGGGTTAAACTCTTGGTTCTTCAATAATTCTATTCCCTTTACCAACAACTGATTAAAAAATAGGTGACCCAATTTTAGGCCACGAGACAAGGACAAACTGGCTGGGTGGCTTCTGGGAAACAGTTTCCCAAAAAGGTAAGATGCAATTTCCTTCCATTTCAGCTCGTTAAATTAGTGCTTTCTGCTAAATGCAGCGGATCTGTTTACTTCTAATAAAGTCAGGAAAGAAACAACATGGAATATGTAAAAGCACAGGAAATTCAAATCATGCTGACAGCCAAACCAGTAAAGTCTTAGAGTTCGTGAGGAGCCTTTAGCTGTACCTCCACAGTGGCCGAACCCCAGGCAGCTATACCCCAGGCAGCATTCCCAATACCAAACTGTAACCCTTTGCCAGAATTGCCAAGTCTAAGCCCACCAGAAAGGGAAAGGTAGGGTAATCCTCTCCTCAAGGAGACCAGGGGGGCCCTGGATCAAGCCACGAGGAGAGTGCTAAATGATGGAGACAAGGTCTATTCACAGCACATCCCGAGGCCTTGGATGAACTGGATTTCAGCAACCTTCCCTCCCCAACATCCTGGCAGAGCTAAATGCTTGCTCAATGAAAGTGAATTTTGGCAAGAAGAGTCCCGAGAAACCTAGTATGTTCTCGCTGGAGAACAAACTGCTTCCTGGAAATCCCATAGCTCAGAAAGCCTATTCCCCTGCAGGGTTGGCACAGGCTGTAGATCATGGCCTGTATCATGAATGCAGTGGTATCAAGACCTACATTCTGAAAAGTAGCATACCAGGCTTCAGGGGCTTATTTTCTGAGTCTGGGGACAGTGCTAAGCCTAAGCTCTAGGAAGACTATCAAAGGGAAATGACTTATTAGGGCAGCAGGAAGAACAACGATTGGACAGAGGCTGAGTATGTAGATAATCCCACACTGTGATCCTTCACAACCTGCTGTAAAAGCTCTAGCTTGCCTTATTTGAAGAAATAATCAAATTCTGTCTTGCTGCAAACCTATTCTCCTTCCTGATTTTCTATCATCTCTGCTGTCCATACTGAAATATTGTTTGACTTCTCTTCTTCCCAAGAGCAAGTTAGTTACCAAGTTTAAGATTTCTCCTCCATACCTATATGCCCACACTCTCCCTTCTGAGATGCTCATGTTCTTTATTATTTAATTTTTATTTTTTGGAGACAGGGTCTCACTTTGTCACCCAGGCTGGAGTACAGTGGCCCATCTTAGCTCACTGCAGCCTGGACCTCCCAGGCTCAAACAATACTCCCACCTCAGCCTCCCGAATAGCTGGGACTACCGGCACATAATACCATGCCCAGCTGATTTTTAAAAATTTTTTGTAGAGACTGTGCCTCGATCTGTTTGCCCAGGCTGATCTCAAACTCCTAAGCTCAGGCCATCTTCCTGCCTTGGCCTCCCAAAATGCTGGGATAACAGATGTGACCCACTGGGCCCAGCCTCCTCGGCCCATGTTCTTACTAACTTCTACACCAAGATTTTTATCAATCGGTTTCACATAATCAGAGCAATCACCTTAAATTCCTATATTCCTAGCCCTCCAAATATCTGATTATGTCCTTAGTATTCTCCTCAAGTAGTCCTGACACCAACCCTCCTCCTAACCTCCCATCTCCATACATATACAAACACGCAAACCTGCTCTGATCACACCAGCTGCCTCACTTCCAACGTTCTGCCTTCATGCCATCACCCAAGTTACTGGGTGAGGCCAGACTGCCATGGAGATTCAAGCAGAAAGGCTGGGTTATGGGAAAGAAGGCATTTAGTGGCCCAGCTGGCAGCATAGTTTAGCTTAATAGCCAACACTGATGATGTACAGCTGTGCTCTCTATAGGGCAGACAGCCCAGTAAAGGAAAAGGCTCAGTGCAACAAAAGGCAAGTCATAGAGTACTTACACATGAAATACTGTGCTAAGCAATAGGTAAGTACCATCTCCCTCATTACTAACAATCACCACTGCAGAATGCAAATGCTATTACTGTCCCCATGTTACATGAGGAAACAGCCTCATAAAGGTTGAGTAATTTGTTCAGGGCTCCACAGCTAACTAGAGGTAGACCTGCAATGTCGCACCCTGATCTGCCCAGTCAGAGTACTTTATTACATGTTCTCCCAAAATAGGTTAGCCTTGCAGGGAGTGATCAGTTAACTGACATGAAGTCCTTCCTCTCTCTAGCATGACATGGGAAAGACCACTTGGAAGGATTGAAAGCCACATCTAGTTTGGAAGAGTTTCCCATAAGTAAACATCAAATAAGATGCTGCATATCATATTTTTATGCATTTCACATTCAAGACCAAGTTCCCAAGGATCCCTTCTGTAGCTGCCTCACCGTATATGCCCTTCCTCATTCAGCCCATCCCAAAACAAATTCTGACAATAACACATAAACTGCATGTAGCTGACCAGCCTACCAGGTCTTTTATGCAGTTCAGCATACACAGTGACACCAAGGTAAGACAAATGAAGATCCAGTTTGGGTGCCTCCATCTCCCTCCCCTGGATCCTGATCCAGTGACTGTCAAAGCCAGAAAGAACTGGGATAGGGTGCTTGATCATGGGGAAGGCTGTTGTGCTTCGCCCGGCAGAGATGGGAAAGGGGGAAGGTTTCACTTCTTCACAATTTGAATGACATCCTCATCCTCCAACGTATGGTCTTTACCCACTTTCTGAGGATTGTGTTTCACAGAGAGACCCCAGACCAGAGCACTGTATGGAAGGGAAAAAGAACAGTCAGTGTAAATAATAAACCTAGCTTCTGCCCTATTTGCCTAGGTGCCACCCTTCTGCTCAGATTTAGTATCACAGTCTTAAGAACCAAAGACCTACAAAAGTTTTATCCACCCTAGCAGCATGAGACACTGAAGCCTTAACATATACAGCAGCAAAGACTTTTGGGAGTTGTGTGGTTCCTCTTATTGCAGAAAGTCGAAGATGAAAAACACGATTAGTATAGAGAGACTGGTTTAAAATTAAAAGTATGGATTTGTTATAGAGAAAGACCCTGAAAATTTCAGATTGATTCTTACAGATAAAATGTCAGTTACAGACTGTCAGAGAAAACCTGTTTTTGCTGGGTTTACTGAAAACATCAGTGGATACTGACAAGAAATTAGGGCCTCCCTCTTGAGCAATGCCAGGAAAATCTTCCTCCCTATCAAGAAACTTAATTGATAAGTCCTCCTGATTTACTGGAATATGTGAAGGTAATTTATATCTATGGGCCTCCAAATTTAATATGTTCTAATGATGAAAACTGGTGAATAAAACACCAAGACCTGCCTCACAGAGACTAAGAACTATATATACCAAGGAGTAGAAAAGGTGGCCATATTAAAAGAGTCAAAACCTCTTTTAAAAACATTCCTAAAAGATACCACTTAAAAAATGAGTATCAGGAACAAATACAATAATTAGTCAAACATAAAATTCTCAAGCCAGGCGCGGTGGCTCACGCCTATAATCCCAGCGCTTTGGGAGTCCGAGGCGGGTGGATCATGAGGTCAAGAGATCAAGACCATCCTGGTCAACAAGGTGAAACCCTGTCTCTACTAAAAATACAAAAAGTTAGCTGGGCATGGTGACGTGTGCCTGTAATCCCAGCTACTCAGGAGGCTGAGGCAGGAGAATTGCTTGAACCCAGGAGGCAGAGGTTGCGGTGAGCCGAGATCACGCCCTTGCACTCCAGCCTGGGTAACAAGAGCAAAACTCCGTCTCAAAAAAAAAAAAATTAGCCAGTCATGGTGGTGCATCCCTGAAATTTGCAGCTACTTAGGAGGCTGAGGTAGAACAACTGCTTGGACCCTGGAAGTGGAGGTTGCGGTGAGCCGAAATCACGCCACTGCACTCCAGAGCAAGACTCTGTCTCAAAAATAAATAAATGCAAGCTATTTCATGGCAAAGTTACCTTGGGGTAAAATGCTGCAGGTGTAAGCACTGCCAGCAAGTATTACCAGGGCAAATGGGAAAAGGGTTAAAACAAATGGAATTGTCAGCCTGTAAACATGAAAAGAGCTATTCATAAATACTGTAATCCAGTTAAACTATTTCTTATAAGATTAGGAGTGAAATGCTGAACTACTAGAATTTTATTTTAAAAAAGTAAATAGATGGTCGGGCGTGGCAGCTCACACCTGTAATCCCAGCACTTTCGGAGGCAGAGTCGGGGGTATCACCTTAGGTTGGGAGTTTGAGACCAGCCTAACCAACATGGAGAAATCCCATCTCTACTAAAAATACAAAAAAAAATTAGCCAGGCGTGGGCAGGTACTTGTGATCCCAGCTACTCAGGAGGCTGAGGCAGAATTGCTTGAACACAGGAGGTGGAGGTTGCGGTGAGCTGAGATCATGCTATTGCACTCCAGCAGTCTGAGCAACAAGAACTAAACTCCCTCCCCCCGCCGCCAAAAAAAGGTAAAGAGATTATAATCACAGCTAGATTTATCGTTGTTGAAAAATAAGGAAGGCTGGGTACAGTGTCTCATGTCTGTAATCCCAGCACTTTGGAAAGGCAAAGCAGGAGGATCGCTTGAGCCCCAGGAGTTCGAGACCAGTCAGGGCAACGTAGGGAGACCCCGTTCCTACACACAAAAAAAAAATTAGCTGGGCACGGTGGCACACACCTATGGCCTCGTCTCAGCTACTCAGAAACTGAGGTAGGAGGATCGCTTGAGCCTGGGAAGTTGAGACTGCAGTGAGCTGTGACAGAGCCACTGCACTCCAGTCTGGGAAACAGAGACCCTGGTATCAAAAGCAATACTAAGCAGTAAGGCTAAAATGAACCCTGTGGTACTGAACTAGAATCAGAGGTAACATTATAAACTCATGGTCTTTAGGAAAGATGATGGATAAATGGATAGTGAGGAATGGTAAGACAGATACAAAAATACAGATGTGTATTAAGCATCAGTAACCATACATTTATTTGCTGAGAGGGCCTACAGGCAATGATAACCTACTTACTAACAATGAGCACACTTAGCACCCACATCTTGAAAACTGGAGCTCCTTGGAGAAGTGACTAATTTTCAGGGCTGGTGCAGGCAAAAATTAATGTCAATTGGGAACATCCAAATATTAACAGTAGCAAAAAGCAAGGAAAGGCTGTGCACTGGTGGCTTATGCCTGTAATCCTGCATTTTGGGAGGCAGAGATGGATCATTTGAGCCCAGGAGTTTGAGAAGCCTGGACAACATAGCAAGACCCCATCTCTAAAAATAAAAATAAAAAATAAATGGCTCATGCGTATAATCCCAGCACCTTGGGAGGTCAAGGTAAGCAGATCACTTGAGCCCAGGTATTCAATACCAGTCTGGGAAACACAGGTGGGACCCCATCTCTACAAAAAAAAAACCCACAAAAACTAACTGGGCATGGTGGTGCACACTTGTGGTTTCAGCTACTCAGGAGGCTGAGGCAGGTTGAGGTCTGAGCCCCTAAGATCAAGGCTGCAGTGTGCTGTGATCATGTCATTGCACTCTGGCCTGGGCAACAGCAAAAAAAAAAAAAGCAGCTTATCAAAAGAACACAGGAGCCAACATGAAAGAGTTCCTAATGGCCAAAGCTTTGTAATAATTCGAGGAACAAAGTAATAGTAATGTTAGATTACATCCTATAGAATAAAATAAATGACCAAAAGCTCAAATTGATAGGAATTATGAATTAATAGAGAAGTGATAGCTCTAACACTCAGTAGATGTCCAATAAATAAATGTAAAAGAAAATAAAGAATCACCATTAGGTCAGGCATGGTAGCTCATGCCTGTAATCCCAGCATTTTGGGAGGCCAACGAGGTGGATCACCTGAGGTCAGGAGTTTGAGACCAGCCTAGCCAACATGGTAAAACCCCATTTCTACTAAAAATACAAAAGTTAGCCAGGTATGTTGGCACAAGCCTGTAGTACCAGATAGGAGGCTGAGACAGGAGAATTGCTTGAACCTGGGAGGCACAGGTTGCAGTGAGATGAGATTTTGCCATTGCACTCCAGCCTCGGGGAGAGAAAGAGACTCTGCCTCAAAAAAATAAACACACACACTGTAGCTATAAATGTCACAGATAAGCCTCACCAGTAGATGCTAATAACAGCAGGCAAAAATTTGAAGAAAAACGACTTTCATAGTCTAAAAAGTATCCCAAGATACTTATCAAATATGGAGAGAAAAATGGTACCTTCGCAGCAGAGAAACCCTCCCTATGCCAACTTAATCAAGTCATCAAGGTGAATATTATCAGTAAGGTATATCAACATCATGAATTTCATGTCACAATACACTGAGAACACGTTATTTTTGTAGTATTCTTACCAAAAATGCATAATCTCATTTCAGTCATGAGAAAACACTGGACAAACTCAAAGCGAGGAACATTTAATAAATAGTGAACACTTCAAAAGTGTCAAGGTCATCAATGACAGTGAAAGTCTAAGGAAATATTACTGGTAGAGTAGAACACAAGAAGACTACAAACAAGTAACAACTAGATGCTACAAAGGTTCTGGAATACAAAGCAGACAAAAGAAAAAGTAGTAGAAAACAGAAGTAAAAGAAAAAGTAATAAAATTCAAATAAAGTCTATAGTTAATAATAGCATACCAATGCTTATTTCCTGTTTCGATAATTTTATAGTAATGTGAGCTGTTAACAGAAGTGGAGTGAGAGACAAAAGGAAACTACTCTATTTGCAACTTTGCTAGAAGTCTAAAATTAGCTCAAAATAAAAAATATGCTGGGCACAGTGGCTCACACCTGTAATCCTAACACTTTGGGAGACTGGAGAAGGTAGATCGCTTGAGCTCAGGAATTCAAGACCAGCCTGGGAAACAAAACAAGACCTTGTCTCTAATAAAAAAAATTTTTTTAGTTAGTCGGAGCTAGTGGTGTGCACCTGTAATCCCAGCTACTCAGGAGGGACTACTTGAGCCCAGAAGATTGAGGCTGCGGTGAGCTATGATCGCATCACTCACTACAGCCAGGGCAAGAGCAAGACCCTGTCTCAAACATAATTATTTTTTTCAGCCTGTGTCAGCAGTGAAAAATATAAGAGATTAGGGAGGTTTTGCCCATGCTTAAGGTCTAGAAGGTGGCTTAGCACCCAGTAGAGGCCAGTGTGACCTAAGCAGGAATAATTGTGTTTGCCAAGAGGAAGATGAAATAATGAGGAAAGGTCAGGCTGTATCATCAGACTTCCTGACCTAAAGAGGTTTCTAGAGCTCTTCCTGTTCTAATTAGGCATGGTTTTAAGAAGACACTGCAGAGTTCTAGCCAAGCACACAATTTCAGCAGCCTCCTTCATACCTTCTTTGTAAAAATGCTATCCTAACTATTACTAGTTAATGAAATTGGTAACTCATAGGAAAAAGGAGGGACCATATACCCATGATACTTACTATTTAAATTCTTTGATAAGATTTTTGTGAATCTTCATGCAGAAATCCTCCACTGTGGTCCTGGAGTAAGGAAGCACCACTGGGGATGTGTAATCTGGTAACTGGCCTTTGGGTTTGGTGTAACTAGAATAGAGAAGGCATAAAGGTTACCACCTTTTTAAGAGTATCTCATGTGTTGAATGTATACCAACCCTCCATCACCCCCCGACATCAGACCAGGACAACCTCCAACCTGAGGAAAAAAGTGTCCTCAAATGACCTAGTAGATAATAGGAATCAAGTTACTTATTTTTCCAAAAAGAGCCAGATTTTTCTGCTCAGATGTACTTTATATAGTAGGAAAAAGAAAAAAATTAAAAATAAAGCCAGATTTTGTTAATGAGCTCCTGAAAGTATCATTTTAGGACAGTCTGGTTTAATTCCTACAGCAACATTACCCTATCCACAAAGACTTACATTCTCACTAGTTTCAGATAGTCCCAGATCTTTTCCAATAGGTCATCAAAATTCCAACGGTGATGGGCAGAGATGGGTACACAGTGAGGCACCTTATAGATGATATCCAATTCCTCAATGGAGATTTGGTCAATCTTATTTAACACATAGATACAGGGGATATAAACTCTATAGAAGTTGAAGAAAAACGGTATTAGTCTGGAGTTGCTGATAAAACTCTCAGCCTGCTGAACAGCACACCCTTGCCCAGACCCCACCCTTACCCAGACCCAACTGACGCTCTCAAGAGGGATCATAAGTAGCAGATCAGCCAGAATAAGGAAAAAAAAAAAAGTGAACTATGAGTTGAAAAGTAACAAGTCAGGCCCTAGTACCAGCCATAAAGCTAACTGCTGGGAAAGCATGCTGCAGTGGAAAGAACACAAGCTTTGAAGTGTTCAGACTGATTCTAATCCCAGCTGTGTCATTTTCTAGACACAGCTGGCCCTCCATATATGCAGTTTTGCATCCTTGAATTCAACCAACTGCAGATCAAAACCCACAGACACTGAGGGTCAGCTGTACTACACCATTTTATATAAGTGACTTGAGCATCTGCAGGTTTTATTATCTGCAAGGGGTCCTGGAAGCAATCTTCTGTGGATATGAAGAGATGATGTTATGTGTCCCTGGGAAAGTCACTTAACCTCTGAGTCAGTTTCCTACAAGGCTGTTTTAAGGATATAATTTATAGTATTTCATAATGTTTAAAGACTAAAAAATAAATGTTTTAAACACAGCATCTACCAATGTCATATTCCTAGTGTGTCCAATCAATGACAGCTAAGGTTACTAATAATTAGGCAAGCCACAACTTCTCAGGGTTTAACTGCCTCACTTGTAAAATGCCTAACTGAAAACACTGGCTTCTGCTTGTTTTCAAATGAGGAGTAAATACATTCATCCAACATATAGGAACAAATGACTAAGTGAGCAACTAAAAATATATGCAAATGCTACAAGTAATTTTAACAGTGCCTTAACTTATTAAAGTCTAATATCAATGGGCTGAGCATAGTGGCTCATGCCTATAATCCCAACACTTAGGGAGGCCAAGGCAGGCAGATTGCTTAAGCTCAGGAGTTCAAGAGCAATCTTGGCAATGTGGTGAAACACCATCTCTACAAAAATACAAAATTAGCTGGGCTTGGTGGCACACACCCATAGTCCCAGCTACTCAGGAGGCTGAGGTGGGAGAATGGATTGTGTCTGGGAATTCAAGGCTGCAGTGAGCCATGATCACACCACTGTACTCCAGCCTGGGTGACAGAGCAAGACTCTGTGTCAAAAAAAATGCTGGGCAGAGTGGCTCGCTCCTGTAATCCCAGCAGTGTGGGAGGCCGAGGTGGGTGGATCACCTGAGGTCAAGAGTTTGAAACCAGCCTGGTAAACATGGCAAAACCCCATCTCTACTAAAAATACAAAGTATTAGCCAGGCGTGGTGGCAGGCACCTGTAATCCCAGCTACTTGGGAGGCTAAGGCACGAGAATCACTTGAACCTGGGAGACGGAGGTTGCAATTAGCCAAGATCACGCCACTGCACTCCAGCCTGGTTGACAGAGCAAACTCTATCTCAAGAAATATATATATATATAAGAGCACAATTGGAGTTAGGATAAAATTCTGCCAACTTCAAGATGCAATACTCCTTCCATCACAAGGCTTCAAATTCAGTCAGGCACAGACTGCACACTCAGTCAGTACCTGTTTCCTTCCACCACATCAATGAGGTCATCAGCTGTAGCATCACTACGTAGAGTCACATCAGCATTATGAATCTTGTATTCGGCCAGAATGCTTTTCACAGTTTCAGCATCCAGCTCACTCTGGGGGCACTGAAAGAGAACAACAGATGACTAGTCAGCACAAAATTTAAAAAAACAAAACAACAACAAAAAAACAAAAAACCTCCCCAAGTGTACCTATATATCCATGTACCTGGAAAATTCTAGCTAAGATTCGAACTCATTACTAAAGACAACCCAGATGAGTGTCACTGACATTTAGTAAGAAATAAATGTCCAAACTCCAAGGAAAGTGTTACACACTGAACTGTGTTCCTCCTTCCCCCCACCAAATAATTAATAACCCCAGTATCTCAGAATGTGATTATATTTGGAGATAGTCTTTAAAGAGAGGTAATCACATTAAAATGAGGTCATTAGGGTGGGGCCCTAATCCAATACTGGTGGTCCTAATAAGAAAAGGAGCTTAGAGGCCGGGCTTGGTGGCTCACGCCTGTAATCCCAGCATTTTCAGAGGCCGAGGCAGGCGGATCACGAGGTCAAGAGATCGAGACCGTCCTGGCCAACACAGTGAAACCCCATCTCAATTTCTTTAAAAAATAAAAATAAAATAAAAAGGGGCTTAGGACAAAGACACACAGAGGAAGTCACCATATGAAGTCATATCTGGAAGCCAAGGAGGGAAGCCTCAGAAGAAACCAACACTGCCATCACCTTGATCTTAGACTTCCAATCTCCAGAATTATGAAACATAAATTTCTGTTGTTTAGCCACCCGATCTGTGGCACCTTATTATGGCAGCCCTGGCAAACTAACACAAAAATTAATCCCGAATGCCCAAACTGTATGAAAGGATAATGGGAAAGATATTTTGGGCAAGACAGCTTAAACCTATCCCAGTCAAATAATCTGGGCTCTAGAGTGTTACATTTAGTAGGAAACTCAGTCCTCAATTCTGACAGAGAAGCTGCATTTGACAGAACTGGTCATTCCTATCTGAAATACTTTACTTGGCTTCCAGTATTACAAAGTCTTTCATTTTTCTTCTCTCTCTTTGTCTAAGAAGTTTTATTTCTTTGAGTATCTTTTCTTTTCTTTCCTTTCTTTTTTTTGAGATGGAGTTTCGCTCTTGTTGACCAGGCTGGAGTGCAATGGCGCGATCCCAGCTCACTGCAACCACCGCCTCCTGGGTTCAAGCGACTCTCCTGTCTCAGCCTCCCAAGTACCTGGGATTACAGGCATGTACCACCACGCCTGGCTAATTTATATATTTTTAGTAAAGACAGGGTTTTGCCATGTTGGCCAGGCTGGCCTCCAACTCCTGACCCTCAGGTGATCTGCCCACCTCGGCCTCCCAAAGTGCTGGGATTACAGGCTCGTGAAGCCACTGCACCTAGTTGATTTTCTTTTCTTTTCTTTTTTTTGCCGATTCTCTTTTCTATCTATACTCATTTACTTGGTGATCTAAGCTAGGCCTATGACATTAAAGTTATATAAAATCACCAAATTTATATATCCAGCCTAGATAATTATTCATGCCTTCTTTTATTTTCTTCTTTTTATAGAGATGGGGTCTCACTTTGTTGCCCAAGTTGGTCTTCAACTCCTGGACTCAAGTGATCCTCCTGCCTCAACCTTCCAAAGTGCTGGGATTATAGACATACAGATGTGAGACACTGTGCCTGGCCTACCTCACATGCCTTCTTGACAGAAACAACTGGATGTCTAACTGGCATCTAAAACTTAACATCCTGATCTTCTTCTTCCCTCCAAACCTATTCTACCAAAAGTCCTACCATTTTAGTAATAAGAGCTCATTTTTTTTTTTTAGCTCAGGACAAAAAAAATGTGGCCAGGTATGGTGGCTCACACCTATAATCCCAACACTTTGGGAGACTGAAGTAGGAGAATAGCTTGAGGCCAAAATTTCAAGACCAGCCTGGCCAACATGGCAAGTCTCCATTTCTACAAAAAAAAAAAAAAAAAAAAAAAAAAGAAAGAAAAATAAAAGAAAAAAAAGCCAAGCGTGGTGGCATGTGAGTACAGTCCTAACTACTTGGAAGCCTGAGGTAGGAGGGTTGCTTGAGCCCAGGAGTTTGAGTAACAGTGAACTATGACTGTGCCACTGAACTCCAGGCTAAGCGACAGAATGAGATCTTGTCTCTAAAAAAAAAAAAAAATTAAAAAATAAAAAACAAAACAGGCATCTCTGACGCTTTCTTTCACAATCCAGATGTAATTACTATCAGCTATTTCAAAATCTTTCCACACTCAACCACTTTCAACTCCTTCACTGTTACAACTCTGGTCCAAGAAGCCATTACTTCTTGACAGGATTATTGCAATAACCTCTTAAATTATTTCTGTTTCTGGTCTTAACCTACTGCAGTCTATTCTAACACAAGAGCCAGAATTATTCCATTAAAATCTAAGTCAACTGGGCACGGTAGCTCATACCTGTAATCCTAGCACTTTGGGAGGCTGGGGCAGGCAGATCACTTGAGGTCAGGAGTTCGAGACCAACCTAATCAACATGGTGAAATCCCATCTCTACTAGAAATACAAAAATTAGCTGGGTGTGGTGGCACACACCTGTAATCCCAGCTACTGAGGACAATGAGGCAGGAGAATCGCTTGAACCCAGGAGGCAGAGGTTGCAGTGAGCCAAGATTTGTACCACTGCACTCCAGCCTGGGCAACACAGTGAGACTCTGTCTTTAAAAAAATAAATAAATAAATAAAACCTAAGTCAAATCATGTTTAGTTGTGGGACAGAATCCAACCAATAGTTAACCATCTCCTGTAAAGTAAAAGCACATGTGTCCCTATGCTATGCTTTTATCTTTACTACTCTCTTACTTGCCCATTCTGCTGTTCCTCAAACATAGAAAGACATGCTCTGCCTCAGCACCTTTCCTCTTGGATGTTCCTTCTGCATGAAGCAGATGTTCTTCTTCAAGATACCCACTTGGTTCACACCTTCATGTCACCTCAGTGAAGACTTCCCCAACCAACCTTAAAACTGCAACCCTCACACCAACACTCTATCTCCTTTCCCTACTTTATTTTTGTTCTCACATTTGTCATTGACTAATCCATTATATTTTACTCATTAATACTGGTTTGCATTCTATCCAATTAGAATACAAAAGAGGGATTTTTGCTGTTCCCTCTTCCCAGAGCCTAAAATAATGCTTGGCCCATGACAGACACTCGATGAATTGTGTTAAATGAATGAAAACAGAAGATATTGGCGGCCATCTACCTTATGCAAGCATAAAACTGGTCCACACTCCCATATTATCCCCAATAAATAACCGAAAAGAGGAAATAAGTGGCAAAGGTAAGTCTGAGACTGGCTCCTATCGTAGTCTTAAAGGCTTTCATGTCAGTCATTATGAAGTCATTTGTGTTATCTCAACTAGTACAGGGAAAAGCCAGGAAATTTTCCAGTGTCAATGTCCATGCACATCACTCCCCACTCTAATTCCTACAGCAGTCTGCCCATGTAGTCTTCCCCACTTACAGTAGCTGTGAGATTAATGCCTCCCTTGTCCTTCTTCTTAAAGCCAATGTTGGGGGGTTTGCTGTTCAAGCGAATGCCAAAGCCTTCCAGTTCATTTTCAATTATCTTCTTATGTCCCAAGGGTTTCAGGACATCCAAAACAATCAGGATCAAGTTACAGGTTCGGGCCACTGAAAAATAAGAAAAAAAATACCCAAGACAGTTCAGTAAAGCTTTAACCCAAATACTCAAGTAGAGGTGTTTTTCCCCCTACATTTAAGGGTCTGTCAAAGGATTTTCTGTAATACATACACATATGAAGGTTTTTTGTTTTTTTTTTTTTTGAGATGGAGTCTCGCTCTGTTGCCCAAACTGGAGTATAGTGGTGCGATCTCAACTCACTGCAACCTCAACCTCCCTGGTTCAAGCGACTCCCCTCCCTCAGCCTCCGAAGCTGGGATTACAGGTGAATGCTACCAAGCCCAGCTAATTTTTTTGTTTTAGTAGAGATGGGGTTTCACCATGTTGGCCAGATTGGTCTGGAACTCTTGACCTCAGGCAATCCCGCCTCAGTCTCCCAAAGTGCTGGGATTACAAGTATGAGCCATTGTGCCCAGCCATAAAGTTCTTATAACTACGAAAGATTTATACCGGAAGTCAATTTGCTTTGTATGCCATGAAATCAGTACCATATTTGCCCAAGAGTTGACACATTTTCTAGATGTAATAGCAGGAAAACAAGTCAGAATAAAGATACAAACCAGGAAATAAACTAAATCCTCAGATACGGGTTAGAAAGGTTTAAAATAGGAAGAACTGTGAAAGAATATTATCCGGTTAGCGTTTTTTTTTGTTTTTGTTTTTTTTTTTGGAAATGGAGTCTCACTGTCACCCAGGTTGGAGTGCAGTGGCACGATCTTGGCTTATTGCAACCTCCACCTCTTGGGTTCAAGCAATTCTCCTACCTTAGCTACCCAAGTAGCTGGGACTACAGGTGCATGCCACCATGTCTAGCTAATTTTTTCTATTTTAGTAGAGATGGGGTTTCACCATGTTATCCAGGCTGGTCTCGAACTCCTAAGATCAGGCCATCTGCCTGCCTTAGCCCCTCAAAGTGCTAGGATTTCAAATGTGAGGTACCTCACCTGGCCTTGGTTAGCAATTTTTTTTTTTTTTTTTTTTTTTTTTGAGAGGCAGTCTCGCTCCATTGCCAGGCTGGACCTCATGATCTGCCTGCCTCAGCCTCCCAAAGTGCTAGGATTACAAGCATTAGCCACTGTGCCCAACCCTTTGTGCCTCTTTTCAGTCTTCCCCACTATACTATTCCCAGCCAACCACTGATTTGCTTTCTGTCACCATAGGTAGTTTGTTTGCACTTTTAGAATTTTGTATAAATGGAATCATATAAAATGTATTATTTTGGCCTGGGACAGTAGCTTATGCCTATAATCCTAGCAATCTGGGAGGTCGAGACAGGAGGATTGCTTGAGGCCAGGAATTTGAGACCAGCCTGGGCAACAAAGTAAGATCCAATCTGTATGGGGAAAAAAAATGTAGTCTTTTGTGCCTGGATATCTTATTTTTATTGACTAACTGAGACAGTCTTACTCTATTGCCCAGGCTGGAGTGTAGTGGCATGACATAGCTCACTGTAGCCTCTAACACCTGGCCTCAAGCAATCCTCCTGCCTTGGCCTCCCAAAGTGCAGGAATTACAGGCATGAGCCACTGTATCTGGCCTTTTTCTTTTAAAAAAAAATTTTTTTTTTTCTTTTAAGAAACGGGTGTCCCTCTTTGGCCCAGGCTGGAATACAGTACTGTGATCATAGCTCACTGTAACCTCAAACTCCTGGGCTCAGTGACCCTCCCAAAGTACTGGGATTACAGGTATATACCACCATGCCCAGTTGTGCCTGGATCTTTTAACTTAGCATATTGTTGACATTCAACCATGTTGGGTATGCACCAGTAATTCATCTCTTTTTATAACTAATCAGTACTACATTTTTATTTATCCATTCACCAGTTGATGGACATTTGGGTTATTTTCAGTTTTGGGGTATAATATAGAAATCTGCTATAAACATTCATGTACAAGTCTTTCTCTGGGCATATATTTTCATTTCTCTTGGGTAAACACCAGTGAAATTGTTGGGTCATATGGTAGCTATAGTTTATTAAAAACTGCAAATAGGCTGGGCACAGTGGCTCAAGCCTGTATTCCCAGCACTTTGGGAGGCCGAGGCGGGTGGATCACGAGGTCAAGAGATTGAGACCATCCTGGTCAATATGGTGAAACCCTGTCTCTACTAAAAATACAAAAAATTAGCTGGGCATGGTGGCACGTGCCTGTAATCCCAGCTACTCAGGAGGCTGAGGAGGGAGAATTGCTTGAACCCAGGAGGCGGAGGTTGTGGTGAGCCGAGATCACGCCCTTGCACTCCAGCCTGGGTAACAAGAGCGAAACTCCGTCTCAAAAAAAAAAAAAAAAACTGCCAAATAGTTTTCCAGGTGTTTGTACTGTTTTACACTCCTATCAGCAGTGTATAGAATTCCAACTGCTTCATATCCTCAACCAACACTTGGTATTGTCACTATTTGTAGCCATTCTAATGAATGTATAATGGCATCTCATTGTGGTTGCATCTCCCTGATGACTATCTTTTCATATGCTTACTGGCCATTCATATTATTTTCTGAGTTCACTCTTTTTTTTTTTTTTTTTTTTTTTTAGATACAGTTTCGCTCTTGTTGCCCAGGCTGGAGTGCAATGGTGCAATCTCAGCTCACTGCAACCTCGACCTCCTGGGTTCAAGTGATTCTCCTGTCTCAGCCTCCTAGGCAGCTGGGATTACAGGCATGTGCCACCACGCTGGGCTAACTTTTTGTATTTTTAGTAGAAAGGGGATTTCTCTATGTTGGTCAGGCTGGTCTCAAACTCCCAACCTCAGGTTATCCGCCCACGTTGGCCTCCCAAAGTGCTGGAATTACAGGTATGAGCCACTGCCGGTCCATCTTTTAGTTGTGCTGTCTTTATTATTGAACTATAAGAGGTTTTTTTGAGACGTGCAGGCTCAAATGCAGTGGTGCCATCTCAGCTCACTGCAACCTCCACCTCCCAGGTTCAAGCGATTCTTGTGCCTCAGCCACCCAAGTACCTGGGATTTCAGGTGCATGCCCCCACACCTGGCTAATTTTTTTTTTTTTAGTTTTAGTAGAAACAGAGTTTCACCATACTGGCCAGGCTGATCTTAAACTCCTGACCTCAAGTGATCCACACCTGCTTTGGCCTCCCAAAGTAGTGAAATTACAGGCATGAGCCATCATACCAGGCCAAAAGTTCTTTATATTTTCTGAAAATAAGTCCTTGTCAGATATACATATTGCTAATATTTTCCTTTAGTCTGTAGCTTGCTTCTTCATTTTAACTGTGTCTTTCAGAGTAAATTTTAAATTATGATAATATGTAATTTATCAACTGTTTATTTTGTGGTTCATTATTTTAGTGTCCCCATCAAAAAAATCTTTGTCTTGGCCGGGCATGGTGACTCACGCCTGTAATCCCAGCACTTCAGGAGGCCAAGGTGGATGGATGAAGAGGTCAAGAGATCGAGACCATCTTGGCCAACATGGTGAAGCCCCGTCTCTACTAAAAATACAAAAAATTAGCCGGGCGTGGCGGTACGTGCCTGTGATCCCAGCTACAAAGGAGGCTGATGCAGGAGAATTGATTGAAACTAGAAAACGGAAGTTGCAGTGAGCTGTGATCACACACTGTACTCCAGCCTGGCAACAGAGAGAGACTCTGTCTCAAAAAAAACTAAAGTATTTGTCTAACCTAAGGTAACAAAGAGTCTCAATCTGGTTGGCATTTAATTTTAAACAATGGAAAAATAGTTCATCAAAGACCGTGAGAATTTTTGTAGCTTTTTTTTTCCCTTTTCTTTTTTCTTTTTTTAATAGAGACGGTGTCTTGCTCTATTGCCCAGGCTAGAGTGCAGTGGCACAATCATAGCTCGTGACAGTCTCAAACTCTTGGGCTCAAGCAATCCTCCTGTCCACCTCACAATTTCTTTTTGATTAAAAATAAAAACAGAGGCCGGGCGCGGTGGCTCAAGCCTGTAATCTTAGCACTTTGGGAGGCCGAGGCGGGTGGATCACGAGGTCAAGAGATCGAGACCATCCTGGTCAACATGGTGAAACCCCATCTCTACTAAAAATACAAAAAATTAGCTGGGCGTGGTGGCACATGCCTGTAATCCCGGCTACTCGGGAGGCTGAAGCAGGAGAATTGCCTGAACCCGGGAGGCGGAGGTTGCAGTGAGCCGATATCGTGCCATTACACTCCAGCCTGGGTAACGAGAGCGAAACTCCATCTCAAAAAAAAAAAAGAAAAAAGAAATAAAATAAAATAAAAAATAAAAACAGAAACCAAAAAATACTCATTATAAAAATTCAAATATTAAAAAAAAACAATTGGAGTGACTATTTATCATCCAAGTTCATCCACAAGTCATCCAAGTAGACTTCTGAGAATGGAAAAAAGGGCACTATTAGCATTAACATGAAAAAACAGGCACACATCAGAATTTTAAAGTTCACAGAGTAAAAGATTTTTTCCCGACAGCCCAAAGGAGAACTGAAACTAACCATGCTTTCTCTGTGTTATATTATTCACTTTCATGCTTAAGAGGAAACTAAAGGCCAGAAGTACAAACAACCTTTTAGGAAAAATCTATATCCAATTTAGAACTCTTAGGCCTTTAAAAAAATTTTTTTTTTGAGACAGGGTTTCACTGGTTGCCCAGGCTGGAATGCAATGGCATGATCTTGGCTCATTGCAACCTCCACCTCCCAGTCTCAAGCGATTCTCCTACCTCAGCCTCCCGAGTAGCTGGGACTACAGGTACAAGCCACCATGCCCAGCTAACTTTTTATTTTTTGTAAAGACAGAATTTCACCATGTTGCCCAGGTGTCCTGAACTCATGTGCTCAAGTAATCTACCTGCCTCGGCCTCCCAAAGTGCTGGGATTACATGCATGAGCCACCATGCCCAGCAGGCCCTTTTTTTTTTTTTTTTTTGAGACCGAGTTTCGCTTTTGTTACCCAGGCTGGAGTGCAATGGCGCGATCTCAGCTCACCACAACCTCCGCCTCCTGGGTTCAGGCAATTCTCCTGCCTCAGCCTCCTG